GGGGGTCAAATCAACGGGCGCTAGAAAGTATGCTTTTGGATGCCTCACACAGTCAGACGTGTCCTCGTGAGGCAAAGGTCCCTTTTGCCTCGATGCCAGTCGCTCCCCAGTTCTGCTGTCGGAATATCCGGGGCAATGTTCAACGGCGCTTCGAGTTTGCTATCCCGAAAAAGCTCGCAATCGTCCGCGTGGCTACTGGTACACGCCATACAGATAGATGGCGATGCATGTCTGTCTTATCAGGAGCCAGAAATCCTGGCGATAGGCCAGCCGATGGTGCCCGTTAGATATCAAAGTATTGCGTCTTTGCTAACTACGGAAAATGAGGCCATGCTAATCTCGACATGGTCCAGGCTGACAAAAAGACGGAATGTGTAACACTATGCCCCTCGTCATATCCCCGAGCGCTCCGTCCTCTACAGTGATATCTAGCAGAGCGATTAGCTTTGCACCACTGTGTCGCTATTATTCTACTTATTAATGATGATATTATTTTTCGGCCATGATTATTATATTCGTTTTGGCTTTCGTCTTCTGAAGCTGGTATCTTGTTGCGAGTCTTGGCAGACTCCAGCATTTAGCTTTACTTTATACCTACAGGATACCGCGATGGTCAGTCCTCTATCAGCTTACTCACGTCGGTACGGGCGCAAGGGGAATGGATGGAGATGACATTCTCCAGCGATCAGCCAAGCCGAGCAGCCTAGTCGAGCTCGACCATCTACTAGCAGACGAGGCTGGAAAGCGCCCCTCCTTCATCGGATAGTGTGCCCGATGGCCAGCACGCTCAACTACGAATGGGTGGCCACGCAGCCTTGGTTGTACCTGGGTGACGCCAGACAAAGGACGGTCGAGATTTACACCACAGTATCCGTCAAGCGGCTCCGACTTTTGTGAATCTTGAACTGATGATGCAAGGCAAGTTGGGGGCCTACCGGAGGAGGGGGGGAGGGGTCTTGGGCATGGGGCCAACAAGCCATGTGTGAGCGGGAAACTGGGTGCTTGCTTGCTCGCGAGGAGGGGCCAGTTTTTTTTTTTTTCGAGCAATTTAGGATTTTAGCGGGCTTTTCAGTCAAGCACGGTGGTCTCTCGAGGTAGGCGCAAGACAAGACAGCCATTTACCTGTCGGAGCTGGCTGGGTGCTGGTGGCTGCTCTCAAGTACCCGGATACTTGCAGCTACACTTCACCCCTCCCTGGCCACACAGAAGACACACACCCGTCTTCCGTCCCTCCCAACCAGCTTACCCCAGCTTTGCGCGGTCCCAGTCGTACCAGTGCTTACCTAGATAGGTAGTTAAAAAGTACATCTCAATGATTGCAGTTACCAAGAGGACGGCGCTCCCACATCGATATTTTCCTTTCGGATCCCGTGGCGATGGTGGTGTGGTGCGATGTGCTCTGAGTCGTTATTTCGCCGATGCTCGTCAGCCAGCCAGCCAAGCAGTACCTACAAACCGCTGTCCGTAGAAGGTACCTAATGTATCGCCGCCGCCGCCGCCGCCGCCGCGGGGTAACCGTCAGGCAATCGTTTGTGGCTGATGGGAAGTTGAGCAAGGGCTGCTTTTACCAGAGGCATTGCTCGTGGTACGTACTTGCCGCGCGCCCTGTCACCAGCTCGGGTTTATATTCCCTTGGTAATACGACGCGTGCTACCTCTTCTTGCATAGCCCGCGTAGTGCAAGAGATGGAATAATTTGTAGACGACAAAGCTGGCATAATCAGGGCTTTTGGTAATCTATTCTGGTTGTTTGTGAGCCTTGACAGGCCTCCACGGGCTAGCACCATGAGCTACTGGAGCACCGAGGCGGGAGGATGTGTTGGGGAAGGGGGGGCTGCGACCCCCGTGCTAATTGCATGTATGAATGATGACTGATATTTTTTGTTGTGTAATGATGTATTCGTACCAAGGGGGACGTGCAGAGACAACGGTAACGGCCAAGATGGAATATCGAAAAGGTACCTGCTTGTACAGCATGAGCGAGTTGTCACAGCGCCTACTCCTCGGTACATAGGTGTACCAGCTTAGGTATTCACTAAATTACTTACTTGTAGTACTCCGGAGAGGCAACTCAGGTTGGCCACCACCGACTGCAGTTGACGGCCGTGCCACAGCGAATCCACCATGGCTGCCGATGTGCTATTTATTGCCTTTATTTCGCAAGCACCAGAGCAGCAAACTAAAAAATAAAAATACATCGACAATAAATGCCAGGAAATCAGCGCCAAAAACAACAACACCTAGGCAGAGTCATGCTCCAATGCTTACGAATAGGTACCGACCTGCTAACCTCCCGTCTGGAATGATAGAGAGACACCCTCAGCTCCATTCCTCCACTCCGAGGTACCAGATACATGAATAATATCACACATCCAGCAGCTGTCTGGCAGCAAGGAATAGTAGGTAGTCACACCTAACGTTATGTTAGCTTGGTGCCAGAAGGTATTTGCATGCCCTTGTTATGCGCTTTCCCATTTAAATTTCCGTCCTTGCATGTACATGCACAAGCCGCGTTCCCCTCCTCTCCTTCTTCCTCTGCCCAGTTGCCAGTTGCCAGTTGCCAGTTGCCAGCTTCCAGCTCCTGCTAACTACTCCTCCCCACCTACCTACTTACTTACTTTTACTGATACTCCTCCTCCTCGTTCTCCCTCCCCTCCCCTCCTCCCATCTCCACCACCACCACCACCACCACCACCACCATCATCATCATCGTCGTCCTCTAACTATCATCACCACACCTTTTTTTCCCTTGTCTCCCTCCCTCCCCTTCATCATCCACAACCCTCCCTCCCTTCCTCCACACGCCCGCTGCCAACGTCCACGCCCACGCCCACGCCCACGCCCACTCTGGCACCACAAGCCCATTCAAACGCCCGCCGCCAATTTTTGCCTTGCCGCGCTACCACAACCACCAAGTCAGTACTGGGTATACCCTACGGATACTACCTATTAGTACCTAGGCATTCGCCTACCACCCACTACAACCAGCAGGCACCAGGGTTCCTCCCACGCGGCCAACCGAGAAGCACCTCGCACGCGCGTAAACTGCACGTACCCTCTCTGCATCACCACACTACAAGCCAGGCTCCCCATCAGCTTGCCTCTTTTTATTGCAACCGCCGCGCGAAAAGTCACCACCACCACCATCGGCTCACCCACCGTCTCGCCAATTTAGTCGCTACTTTTTGCTTTGCGCCGTCTTGTTGTGCTCCTCCATCGGCTCGCGCGACCATTGTCTTGGTTGATTTCCGCCCACCGCGCCACCTTCGCGACTCACTCACGCTGCTTCGCCGTTTGCGCCGTCGCCACCTGCACATCGACGGCTTCCTTTGATCTTCATATTTCGCAAGTGCCCATCCGCAAGTCGCCAGCTTCGTCTCGAGCTTGTCCTTGCTGTCCGGGCCTCCCGGCCGACCTTTTGCTCTTCTCGGTCGTGTCGTCACTTGACCCGCGCCTCTACGCGTTGCCACCAACAAGCTTGGACTAGCAGCTTGCGCCGTTTGTCACTGCGTTCGCATCGTCCTCCAAAGGTAACTAACCATCCGTCGCTTTGTACCATCATCCTCCCCGTCGCTTTTGCTGCCTGACCCATTTCTCGTTCATCTCTCCCTCATCCGCCCCTGCACCGTGACTGTCCTCCACCGGGCGCTTCGTGGTCCTGCCCTGTCGCATCCATTCAACCCGCGCGCATCATCGCCGCTCAACTTGGCCGCCAAACCTGCTACCTGAGGCAAGGTAGCTCATGCCCGCCGCAACCACCACGGCCGTTGCCGCCGCACCACACAAAAACCTCCTCCCCATGTGCTCGCCTCGACACCATCTTGCTCTCGCTGCCACACCGCATACATGCATGCCTAAATCGCCTCCTTCGACTTGATTGCGTCTCGATTTGCTTCCTTCGATCTTTGCTCGTCGACACCATCCTTCTTCCTCCTCCATGCCACCACTCCCCACGGGTTCGGCCGCCGCTGCCATGTACGCCAGCCAACCCATCGCCAGCACCGAGGGTGCCACAATCAATCCAGCTGCCCTCAACTCTCCAGGTAAGCGCTCCCGCTCCCATATCAAACTTCCTCCTCGCTTGCCTTGTCGCATGGCTTTTGCGAGCGTGTCTCCCCTCACTCTCTGTTTTGCGCTGTCGCAACGACAAACCCCACCGTTAGTTGGGCTGCAACACCTCTTGCGCCCTTCTGTCGCGCTCCCCATGCCGTTCCAAGCCAAAGCTCCCTTTCTCGCACGCTCTTTTTTTCGTCTTGCCGCATCATTCTACTAACCAGTCTCTTTCGCTATAGCCATCCCCTCTTCTCTCTCCACGAATCGCGCGAAACGAAACCGATCCCCGGATACTATGACCCCTGCGCAACCCGTCGGTGACGGTATGTCGTTGCAGAGTCTTTGTGGCCACGTCCTGCAACTGCTTCGTCTGCTTCCTACCGCTTGTGTCGCGTGCTAAATCTGGCCCCTTATTCCCACCGGGGTTTCTCCTCCATTTCAACTCCCGGTGCGCCCTTGTGTGCGCGCGCGCATATTGGGCCGGTTCGATTATCACGGTCGCGTGTGCGCCAACTTAGCAGCCAGGGCGCGTTCACTGACAACTCTCCCTTATCACGTTTAAAACTGCAGCTAGGCCCGATCTTGTGCTAACCTGTTCGTCCAAATAGGCGCCTCCTTGGCACATTCCAGACGATCCAGACTCATGAAGCCTCACTCGGGAGATGCTTCTGAGGCGGGGGCCCAGCCTCCAGCCGCTGTCACCACCGCTCCTACGCTTCCTCCTCCCCAGACGCCGCAATCCCAGGCTACTCCTCTCTCCGCCCAGCCCACGCCAGCATACTCTGGAGGTGGCGCTCCTCCCAAGACTACTCCCACCAAATCAACCCTCAAGGCCCTGCCCACTGTCCGCGATCACACAACCGATCAGCTCAACCCAGCCGGTGATGAATACATCCCTAGGGAGATTGACGAGTTTGGCGAGAAAAAGGTCCTGGGCAATGGCCAGCTTCTAGGCAACCGTGTCTATCGCTGCAGGACTTTCCTTGTGCCCAACCGTGGCGACAAGCTCTTCATGCTAGCCACCGAGTGCGCTAGGGTGCTCAGCTACCGGGACTCGTATTTGCTATTTAACAAGAACAGGTCCCTCTTCAAAATTATTGCCAGCCAGGCTGAAAAGGACGACCTAGTCCAGCAGGAGATCCTCCCTTTCTCGTACCGGTCCAGGCAGATTGCTATTGTTACAGCCCGTTCCATGTTCCGCCAGTTTGGAAGCCGAGTCATCGAAAACGGCCGTCGTGTGCGTGATGACTACTGGGAGACTAAGGCCCGAAAGCAAGGATTCACGGAGAACGATCTTGCTGGCGAAAAGAGACCCGGAGCCGCCAAGGCTCGCGAGGCCGCTGAAGCCCAGAACAACGTCATAATCCCCGGACCTCATACCGAGATTGTCTATAACAACGCCCCAGGGCCGTATCCAGGTGCCCCACAACCTCACATCGTCCAGCCAGGTATGATGGGAGGCCCCGGATCTACCACGAGGATGCCCGCGTTAACAGTCGCTCCAGACCTTAGTGATAACCGGCCCAGGGACTATTCAGGTGTTGTTCGACGCGGCCCGCGTCAGGAAATTACCGGACCAGCCTACCAGGACCAAACCAGGCCTTCTCCCGCTATGGAATTGCATTCCCAGACGCACCACGCCGCTGAGTTTAACAGGTCCGTCAACCAGCAGCGTGACATGCGCGGCGACTATCTCCAAGGCATATGGCACCGCCCGCATGAGCAACCTCCTTCTAGCCTGACACAGCCCGTTGGCACTTCGGACGCCGTTCCCACCTCCCGTGCCACTGCTTCTCCCCATGCCACTGCCGCAGGTCTACCCCAGCCTGGCGGAGTCCCATCTCGATCCCCTCAGATGATGATGACCAATGCCCCCTACTCTCAGGGCATCAGCGCCCAGATGGGCCAAGGCATGAGGCAAGGTGCGTTCTCGGTGCAGTCCCCCAACCGGACTGAATATTAATCATTCCTCCAGGATCTACAGGTAGCATCAACGCTGGACAACCCGGCTACAACTACCAGTCCGGACAAATGTGGTCGCAGAATCCCCAAGCTGCCCAGGGAGCGTATGGAAGTTATACCACCCAGGGCCAGCAGCCGCATCCCTCGCAGTCTCCGGCCTCAATGCGTCAGCCCGGAAGCGGCCAAATGCAAAATATGCAATTCCCGCCCATGGGAGCTTTGTCGCAGTATGGAGGCCAACCCAGCATGTACCCAGCGGACCAGACGCCCAGGCAATACATGCAGCAACCCGCCGCTGGCCAGCCGGGCGTTGGCCAGGCTTGGCAAGGACAGCACTCGCCCTCTCAGGCACAGCAGTCGCAACAGCAGCAACAGCATCAGTGGTGGAATCCCTCCCAGCAGCCGCAATAATTGTGCTTATGCCGGATTTGTCATTTGCAACAACAACTATCTCGTTATGCGGCCGGGCCGCATGCCATGTTCAATGCTGCCTATCCCTTTCCTCCTCATTTCAAACATAACCAATCCTTTAGTACCTATGGTGCCGCTCATTGAACCGGTATAAAGGGGCGAGGGCATTGACGTTTTCTGTTCTGTTGTTTTTCTGGAGTTGCTGCTGTTGTTCTTGGATACCCGAACGCATGGCCGACCTATTTTGCCGGTATCGTCCGTTTTGCTTGACGTTTTGGTTGTCTTTTTTTTGCGCTGGACCGAAATTTATCAATCATCCATTCCCCCGGATACTGGACTTTCAAAAACTTGGACGGGATAGAGGCGTCTAGGGCAAAGGAAAGAAAGAAAAAGGAGGGAAACCGGAAGGGAACGAGGGAAATACGGCGCCTATTCTCGGTCACTTACTGTTTGTTTTGGTCAGGCGGACATGCCTCGGAATGAGAACGATGCTCACGTGCAGGCTTTTGGCCACTTTTGGCGACGATGACGGTCTTCTATCCACGGAAGACTGTATAAGTTTTCCCCTGATTATGAGATATACGTCACTCTTTGCCACATTGGCTTTGTTTCTGAGATGGGTTCGTTTTCTTTTTTGGTTTTGCTTGGCTTTCGGGTAAAGACGATGGAATTCCGTCTCCAGTGGATTGTTATTCTTTTCAACCCAGGATTCAACCTGGGCTGGTTCAAATTGTTGTACACTTTTTTCTTCGTTTGATTCGTCTCCTGTTGTCGTGCTTCGTCGCATCTTCCTTCTCGTCCGCTTGGTGAACTTGACATGGCTTCTTGAAACAGCCAAGGCTCTTTCTTTGATCCGCCGATTGATCCCCGGCTTCCGTTTTTTCTCAGGATTTGTTGGTTTTGACTGCATTCGGGTTCAGGGCTCAAGGTTCAGGGTTTTCTAATGCTTGGCATGGGTTGTTTTGAGTATCTAGTGTTTTGTTCGCTTTATCTTGCTACCTGCTTTCTTCCGTCGTTTTTCTCCGACTTGCGTCCAATCTTTTCTTTGCACTTGCTTTCTGTATAGCCCCCGGGTGTATACTTGAAAAAAAATACGGTTTCTTGTCTTGTTTCGTGTTGATAATATGGAATTTCACGCCTCGCTCACTCATCCATATCCTCTATCCTCTGTGAATACTCTGACTTCTATATGGTAAAACTCGTCAAACTTGTAAGAAGATACTTTAGAAATCACTCATGTCGCTGTAGATTTGTCACGAGCTTCGGCGCACGAGCTGGCTCCAAACTCTGTTTCCTTCCCTGCAAGTAATGGGCACGTACATACATACCCTTGATACCCAGCGTGGCGGCTCGCGCGGTCCGATAAAACCTGGAGAAAGTCAGACAACAAGGCTTGGTGGCGAATAAACGAAGTGCCATGAGCTTCTCTTCTCTCGTCTCAGTGGTGTGAAAAGCGACTGTGTTTTCAGCTCGGACATTGCCCCTCCGTCAGGTCCCGAGAGCCTGGTTCTCATCTCGGCCGTATACAACGTATACATGCATACCTTGACACCATTCACACGGCTCTCGCCCGTCTCGACTAACCGCATTGCTTCATCTTGGCTACCAGTAGACGAACCGTACCTGTGCGGGTGACAACGTCTGTGTCATCCTGATATGTTTCTTTTACAGCATCGCGTCGGCAGTTACTTCTCCTTCGGGGCAAACTCGATTTACCTCTTCCCCCCCCCCCCGAATCAAATCGGCAGCCCGCATACTTTGGATTTTAAGTTTCCCCGCTCCGTGGAACCATTTGGCCCCTTGGGAACGACAGTTATGGTTTTCTAGATGGTCCAATCGCATCACGAGAATGAGCACCTCCAGTGCTTTGGGCTGGCGCCTGGCTCAGCTCAACACGGGTTGCGACCGCAACGCACGCTCAACATTAGAAATGTCAGTATTTGCGAGATTTCTTCCCGCGTAGGGCTAAAGAAACCAAACTATTCGCTTTCAGTGATGTTTCGAAGCGATGCCCCGTGCGCCGGGCCGGAGCGCCAGTTTAGCAAGGGCCAATGGCACCCGCAGCGTCGGTGACCTCGACTCTTTGCTATGTCGGCAAAACTATGACGCGATGGAGAATTCGTGAGAAGCTCATACCTAAAACTGTCTCGCCGTTGCGGCTGGCCGACCAGGCCCAAAGCAACGACCACCCCGTACGATTTCGCTGCTCCGAGGGTATGGGTATACTCGCGGCCGCTTTGCCATGACTAGCAACATCTTGTTCTCTTGTAAGGACAGTTCGCGCCCACGGGGGCTATACTGTAGTTAGTGTCTGTATTCCTCGATGACGAAAGTATGAATTATAGTAGAGTTTATCTCTCTTCGTTGGAAATGTACATCAACGCACAGACAGGGGTGGTCATGCCCCGATTTGAAGAGAGCATTGACCATTGATTAAATAGGATTCGTGTTGCTTCCTTATCTTCGTGTTGGTACTCAGTACAGCGTAGGAGATGCGCGGGGTTGTAGAGTCGTGAGCCGAACCCTGAAACGTACAGAGCAAGCGGCTAGAGGTTATCGCCATAATGCCCTTGGATACGGACGCACTGGTTGTGATCTATCGAAGAACTGAGACTGTTATGTGACTGGTAAGGCATCCCCGAGGACCACATTCTGTGGTCATCTAGACTGTCGCTCAATGCCGACTCTGATAATGTCGCGTGTTGATCGCCTCAACCTTCGTCGTGCGAAACAGACCCGATGAATTGCGGCGTACCGTAACACTACCCTGGACTTACGAGATCAAGGCCTATCAGTATGACCAGGCACCAGCCGTCCAGACGGACAAAACTCATTAGTGGAGGGATGTTCAGAACTGCCGATAATTCCCGTCATGAGCCCTTTCCTTGGTGTGTCAAAATCAGAAACACTGCTCATTTAATCTCGCACCGTTGGGCACCGACCAAGCGGCCCGTTCCAGGGGTGCGGGAGCCGCTACGGGCAGAAGGACAGAACAGAATTTGAGTTTCGGTAAGGGAGGGCATCGATGCGGCTGACCGCGCCTCATCTTGGTGTTGTTGTATGTGGCTGACGATTTGGGTGAACACTTTGGCTTTGAGTCCATGGTGCCAGCCTGGATTTTCGGCCTCCTGTGATAAAAGAGCATTCCTTGATACATGGTACTGCGGCGTAGAAAACTAGATATGGAAATTAAGACTTTCGGCCAATTTCAACAAGCAGATGGACCGACATTGCAATCTTGCGAGAGACTGCTGGTTGTAGGTTAATTCGTCTAAAAAGTAAATGCGTCTAACTGGCTGCGCTTTGCCAAATTGGAATGATCTTCATTCTGATGTGCTAGTCCACATGGCCCAGCGGCTCCTGGATGAGCTTTGCGGGATGGTGAAGTTTGTGTCTTAGTATTTGAAATACCGTGACGGCTCACGGGGTCTCAGTCAGCGTCCGACACAGTTTCGAGCGAGGCATATACATCTGATTCCGCATTGATTCTAGATGGGACCGAATCTCTGGATTTTACCTGGAAGTTGGGGTGCATTGGCTCTTTGGGGTCATGCACCATATATGTTGCAAGCACATGGGTTGGTTCCTGGACCTCCCCGCATGACCGACGGCTGGTGTGTTTCACGAGCTGACAGCCAGGGTGGCGGGCTGTGTCGTCTTGATGAGTGAGTAACTAACGTTAGCTGCTGGAGGCTGAACCAAGTCACTAGTTAGGTGTTTGGAGTGTTTACCGATTCGGGCAAGATGACGTGTGTAGGATTTGCGAGTCACGAGGAACACTCTGGTAATAAGCCGACGCTCGCCGCGCCATGCTGGCTGGCTACTGTCTCCTTTGGCGGGCAGGATGCGAGAATACTTCGCAATATCCGCGCTTGGGTGATTTGGTCCCTTGCTCTGTATAATGTGCGGGCTAATCCGCGTCGCCAACGGTTGGGATCCACGGAAAAAGAAAGTTGCGGTGAAGTTAAAACATGGATTTTTCGCAAACCCGCTCTGTAAGTTGTCCATTGCTTGCGTCCACGTTTTTGCCTTGGCAAACACAAGCTGCAGCCGACCCACAACATGACGGAGCCGACGATGCTGCACATGATCATTTAAACCAGGGGTAGCCACGCCTGGGGCTGGTTGGAGGCCGTTTATTCCATATTCGTACTGTTGGCGGGCAGTTGAGGCGTCGCCGGCGGCGCTCGGTTGAATCGCATGGTGGTGTGGGGAAGGCAAAAGAGGTGAGTTGTGTTGCTAACTATTCAGCGAAGTAGTTCTTGGCCATGATGTGCAATGCATGAATGAGAACCAGTCACACACAGTGGGCGCTGTCATGACCAATTCGTCTTTGTAGAAGCCGTTTTTTACCCACGGAGGGTTGGTTTGGAAGCGCGAAGCTGACGAATAGTCCTGATTCAGAGTCTCCTCGTATGTTTCAACCGTCTCCGCGCGGGGGAAGCGTCCTTGTGTTGAGACGACATTGGTCAGGTTGATTCGATTTCATAAACATGAAAATCCCAGATACGTACCTGTGGCCCTTGCACTGTGTCAATAATCATACCTGAGTTGCTCTCCGTTTTGGTACAATACTTTCTATTGCATACTTAACAATGCTGGCGGGTGATCCTCAGGGCCCATGCAATCAATGTCTGAAGAGAACGGACAGGTACAATCGCGCTACCTGGCTGATTGGCGTTCCTGTGTCTGTACATTGTGGCGGCGACCGGGGTCTGCCACCAAACCTGCAGAGGCAAAAGGAATCATAATGCTCCAGAACCTGCATTCTCTTCATCGTCGTTTGTGGCTGGGCTGACGAGCAGTGCAGCGGTGCAACGCAGCCACTTCTGCTTCGGTGGATAGCCAAGAACCGGCTTCTGAACGCCAGGCTACGGCTAGCCACCTAGCGTACGCCATCGGACACAGACGATGGCCAAATGGGAAACTGTTTTGTTTTAGGTGATACTGCATGTCATTGAGCGCAGGGGGAAGGAGGTGACACGACGATGGCTTGGTGTCGAATCTCTGAGTTCTGGCGAATTGAAAAATGACCACTGTGGGGGAAGCGAGGCATAACGACGGCCTTTGCAAGGACGAGGCGGCAAGATAAAGGAAAGAAAAGAGCCAAGAGAAGGGAAAAGTAAAAATGGCGCCTGTCGGCCGCAATAAGTCAAAGCGGACAAAAAAGAAACAACATATTGGCGATGCTACTCAATGTGCAGTAATCTGCACAGTAGTTGGTGGGAAAGTGGGAGGGAGGGAGATGCGAAGTGGTTGCATAACTTGCCACGTACAGTGCATACCGTACAGTGTGCGGGGTGCCATCGTGGAAGCGGGCGGTGATGCCCAAGAACCCGCTGCGACTTCACCGCCTCAATCATGCTGGACTTGCTGGGAAACTATCGCAGAATGAAGACATGGTTGAGACCCTATGTTATGTTCAAATCCGGAACCAAGATATCATTCTACAAAATAACCCCCATAGATTTTAAGCTGTGAGCCAGGCTGACTGACAAGTACCTATATACCTACCAGAGCAAACGGCCGCACCGTACGTCGTTATCTGCTTCACTGTGCGCCATCAGGGTGTTTGCACCAAATTACAGCCTCCTCCCTCTCCTACTTCACAACCTACCAGCACAAGTAGATCAGACGACGCCTCGAAATTTTAGCCGTTCCTAGGTCGTTGCTCAGCCCCCAGTTCTACTACACCCAGACTTGCTTTTTGCTGCACATCCAGTTGTAATGTGAGTTCCTGGCTGTGCATCTTTACCAATGTCTACGAGACTAATTCTTCGGCAGTCTGCATCGAACCTGCAGCATGGCATGTGCTGTCAGACGCGAGTATAGGCCGTCAATTATATCCGAGCCTTCAGAATGGAGTACCCCGACACTCGCTGTGCGTGCTTCATGTTCTCCACGTAAAGACCTCGCCGTGACTTGGGAGTTTCTTTTGATTCTGTACTGCTTCTTTCTTTTTCGGCACGTCTTCCTATGAAATGGAAATCCGGCCACCATCCTTGATCCACCGCCTTTCGGGTTGGCTCCGGTCTCAGACATTGAGCCAGTTGTGCGTATTACGGTACGATAGCCAGCCTTCGGCTACAGAACCATGGCTCAGCTCCGATGTAGCACCTGGCGATCCGTCTTTGACGCCGCCATCTTCATTGACCTATTGTCATTGCGCACTACACTCTTGGGCCCGTCATGGCAATAAGTCAGATACAGAACAGCAGTCGGAGCTTGTGCGTCACACTCTACCATGTCAGCCATCGGTGGGCAAAATAAGCCAGCTTCATGGGCAAAATCCTGGCTGCAGACGACAACGAGTAACTTACACCTGCAAACCAGCCTGGTCAATTCCTACAGGGAGTTGTCCTCCCCATCAACCAGAGCGGCATGTGGAGTCGTCAAGCACCAGTAATACTCCGCAGCCACGAAACATTCTCTGACCTGGGCGCTTTTTCTGGACTATTAATAAACTGGAAAGGCGAGACAGGAAGAGCCACGAGTCGGCCTGTATTCCGCCATCAGCTGTTGCCGAGCTCAGGCTCCAGTGCGACCTTTCTCCACCCCGAAAGCTCGTCAGTGTGCTCATAGCGGAGTCTGTCTCTCGTTCCTGGCCCGGAGGCTGAGTATCGTGGCCTAGTACGTGCCATTGTCGGGCCCGGCCGTACCAATCGTTCGATAGTTGAGTGACCGCTTCCACCATTCCATCACGACAAGAGACTGCGACTGGGTGACGACGGGCGATCCTAGGTATAGGGCCCTCACAAGCAGGTATGAAACAAAGCACGCGCCTACACTTCACTGGCGGTGACAGTCGACTCACGGCGAGTGTGCCAAATCCCAAGTTACATGTGGTTCCGATTACAATTACCGGCAGCGGACTCGCAGCGAGCTTCCTGGCTGAGCGGTATTATCCCCGGAGCGGCCAATGCATTATGAAGTATACCGCAGAGAACCACTCCTGTTATAGTCACATCTCATACTTTGGCCGCTGCAAGACGGGAAAATAGCAACAAAAACCAAACTAAATGCAGAGCACACCCCACTGCCCGCCGACCGGCGTCTAGCGAGCAGAACAAGTGCGTATCAGCGTGTCCAAGATACGGCTACTGCAGCCCAGAATTATTACAGAGTTGCGATTGCCTCGAAACGTGCTGGACAGCGGGCAGTGGCTTGATTTGCTTCTGGCCCTGGACCGTTCCCGCGCCCGCCAACTCCAACTCTTCTCCACACCACCACACACCATCACGAGTAGCCAAACCGCCATCACCCCTGATCCTCATCAAAAAGGGTGTAGTTCTCGTCGACCATCTGCAGCCCATATTACTTTTTCTCCGCCTGTGCGTCACGCTTGCACCGTTACGACAGGCCACCTGCAGCTCTCTTCCCCCACCAACGACTCGTCAGTTGCTAGTCTGCTGCAGTGCCGAGCCTTGGTCAAGCGCCCGCCTGCAGGATCGGCTTGCTTGCCAACTCCCTAGTCAGTGGATTGCTTCGTTCTAGTCTGTCGATGGTACTTGACATGTACCTCGCATCCGTCCAGACTAGAATCCACTGCCGTCCCTGCTGGGAGTTGGTTGAGATGGTGTCCACGATGGGCCATGGACCGCCCTGTCCGCTCAGCGGCCCCCTCGCCCTGAGCCCGCTTCTGCTCCCCATCTTGTATATAGAACGACGCCATCCTCCCCCTCCCCGAGGTTGTTCCTGGTCGTCTCTGTTAGCTCGCCAGGGCAGAACTGGCCTCACTGCTCTTTACGAAGTATCTATTCTGCAGCATCTTGTAAGCCTTGGTCCATTCTATCTATATGCGAAACCGCCGTACCCGGTCATGCTTGCTCTACCTGGTCCCTAATACTTCGACGCCTTGACGACAAAGCCAAGTACCAGGATGCTGACCGCCACTGTTCTAGATATCTTCACGACGCAGCTTCACTTCTCACGCCAACGTTCTTCCAACTCAATTGACACTTTGCGCAGCATCATCCACACGCTTGGTGAATGCAAAATCCATAGTCATTCGTTTGCAAGTCACTCGTTTACACTACACTAAACCGACTCTGAACGTGAACTCGAACACCGGATCACATCGGGACGAGCCATATTGTCATATCGCCAAATTGCCAACACTCTACATGGACTGAAACCGCCCAATTACCCTTCTCCCGATAGCTTTGGTGAACAAGGCGCCGCCACCTAAGCTTCATCTCCATTCATAATGGAGGACGCTCACGTTGACGACAAGAACCTAACCATCATCCTCGCCTCGGTAATTCCTGGCGTTGCATTCATTCTGCTCTGCGCCATTCTACTATACCAGATTCAGAAGCGCAGAGCACGTCTTTTTCGCAGAGGCATCACTCCGATTGGCGAGGAGGAAATTCAGTCATGGAAAGTCGACAAGGACGATGAGCAGTCCGAGACCCTTGAGCAAGGGCCATCACATCAACGCGGAAACTCGGCTTCCTCCCACAAACCCGCGAGCATCATCGTCTATCAGAACACTACGTCAGGTCGGGTCTCCGAGGACCAACAACCACACCCTACTTCGCCGCCATACCGTGTTAGCATCGACATTCCCACCACGCCAGTGGTTGCCCGCGCACCGAATGCTCGGCCCGGCCTGACAGATGATACTATCCCAGGAGACGATGCCTTCATTCTTCAGCCTAAACGGCAGACACGGCTCGCCAAGCACCCGCCAGTGTCTGCAGCAAGCCGGCACCACCGTGCATGGAGCACACGCTCCATATCCCGCCGGCCCTCGCACGAGTGTTGGTATGGCACCGAGCACGACGGTACACCGCCACGTCACTCTACAGAGACCTTTACCCGCAGCCGGAGCCGATCGTTGCACCAGGCTTCAAACAACAGCACCGCCTACTCGACGCCCGCTAAGCCACCCAGGGCTTCCTTTGACGATGAAATGTTTCTAGGCGGGCTCTCACCACGACCACCAGTCCACAAGTCCGAGATTGGTCGAGCTATCGGCTGAGCGCGGGTTAGGATGTCAGAGAAGAACCTCTTCTTTAGACTTTGAACCCATTATTTTGTACGACGGCTACTGATTTTGCTTACATGACACCAACCGTCGCACTCCTTAGTTTTTCCAAGGTGTGAAGACCCCGGATGCTACTTTCCGGGTTTACGATGCAGCCGTGCGTTCTCGGCCGTGTCGAACGAGCCTCTCCCCAGGTCAAGCAGGCACTTCTTCAATCCCTTCGAAGATGACTGGTTGAATGACAAGGGTTCTCTTCTGCAGACAAGGTTCTGATGCAGATATAGTATCGCTCGGACATTGCTGCCCCTGAAGTGGAGAACGAATTTACTTACAACTGCCCATATATATTTACTCGGCATAACTACCCTACGTATATAAGGGAAGATCCATTTCCTATCACGGCCTCTTACATGCTGGCTTCCCCTTCACCCCTCTCTTCACCCCTCTACTGGAACACCTTCATTGTCACCCTTTTTTTCTTTCATGTTGACTATTGATATGATGTATGTTATGGCTGGATATACCCTGGATGAGGTTTTTTGGACGGTACCAAGGATATCCTTATGCATAGACTACGAGGGCGGCAAGACATGTTCTCGTCCCTAAATGCTTGAGCAGGGCTCAGCGAGGAGTATTTCTTACAGGTGCATACCCCAAATACGAAGGCCAGCAAGACTGGCTGGCTGGAGAAAGATGTCAATGAAAAATCGTTCAGTTCCAGAAGCGGCCGTGATGTGTATGTGATATCTCATTAAGTTCATTTAGCTAGGCAAGTTGCGCAGGCTATTACGCCGTGTCTCTACATACGCACAGTGTATAATGCGAGCATCTTAAAAACTGTGAGGCTGTCGTGGAACAAGGGTTGTATGCACCCCAGGTTTTGCTGATCGGCTCCGAGCACAAAATGTGTGGCTATTAATCTGTACCAGCAATCATACACGAGTGGCCATCGAATTTTCGATGAATGATACCACCGTTTCTTTTGGCGAAGAAGCTTCCGCGGGTTTGGCACTCAGCCATTATTACAGCGTCAAAGCTACCTACAACTACGGATAGTAGGGCATTCACTGAACCACTTAACGCGCTGTCACCCCATAACGGTGTGGAATAGTGGGGTCGACTTGCGAAAACGCGTTCGCAAAGTGTCCTACGGGAAGGGACGCGCCTCTAACCCCATCAGCCTAACATTTTGACTTTTTTTGTTCTTTTTATTTACATCACCGCAGGCAATTGAAAACACTACATATCCGATCAACAGTTGGCATTATTTACACTTTATTACTAACTCATCGGGATCGAAAAAGCGCGCCTCAAAAACCGACAACTCCCACACGCACTCCTGTCGCCACTCCCCACGAACGACCATTTGGGATCGAGAAAGCACCCCTGCCCTCACCGCATGGACGGACAGGCTACTCAAGTATACCAGGCGTAGAAAAGTACACATACGAAATACACAGCTCACACAAAATGGTATCTCGCAAGTCGGACGCGCGTAAGAGCGACGTCTCGGCCGTTGGGCCAACCGCGGCCGCCACCGACTCTTCACATGCTGCGGCCGCAGACGACTCCGTCCTCTCGACAGCGACGACGACAACAGGGACAGCACACACGGGCGGTGACAAGACCTCCGGCGAGGGAACGAAAAAGGGCAAGGAGCCGGCGGCCGCGTCGGCGACAACGACGGAAGATAAGACGACGATTGAAGACCTGACACTGCCCAAGTCCATCCTCACACGGCTAGCTAAGGGCGTGCTCCCCCCCAACACGCAGATCCAGGCCAATGCCATGACGGCGCTGAGCAAGAGCACGTCGGTGTTCATTAGCTACCTCGCTACGCAGTAAGGGCTCTTTCTCTTCCTCCATGGACGCTTCCTTTGTCGGTCTTGGTTGGCCAATTTTAGGAGCTAATTCGGGCAAAACTACAGTGCAAATGAGATCACGCTCAATGCAAATAAAAAGACGATTATGCCCGCGGACGTATTCAAGGCCTTGGAGGAAATTGAGTTTGATTTTCTAAAGGAACCGCTCGAGGCTGAATTCGCAAGTACGTTGGACAACCTGAGAGCACTGATGGTGGCTGGCATGGATTTGCTCCGCATATATCCCCCCAAATGGAGTCATGTGGAATACGAGGGACAACGTGAACGTTTTGCTGACAACTCACTGTAGAATTCAACGCCATCCAGACGGACAAGCGTAACACGTACCGCCAAAAAGTCAAAGCAGCGGCCAAGTCGACGACGGGTGACGACGACACCGAGATGGGCGGGGCCGGAGCGGACTCGTCCACGATAGCCGACACGACGACCGCCTCGGCACCGCCCGAGGATGACGATGCTGACGACGTGCCGCGCTCGAAAAAGGCGCGCGTCGAACCTGGAGCGGCGGATGCGGAGGAGACGGAGGCGGACGACGCAGAGGAGGATGCCGCAGAGATGGATGATGAGGAAGAGGACCAGGAAGAGGAAGAGGAGGAAGAGGAGGAGGAGGAGGAAGAAAGGGACAGAACGGAAAGCGGTGACGAGACGCAGGATGCCCTCGAGGAGCGGGTGGACAGGGAAGAGGCAGACGAGGCGCTGGACGGCGACGAGAGCGACTAGAAGGAGCCCGTGGGAAGGAGACGCGGATGTGTCTTCTGTTAAGCATTGGAAACGTTTGTTTTTGTCGTAGCCTGGAGAGGGCAAAGTGAAAGCATCATGTAGAACAGCTCCTCAAACTGATAGGAAATCGAAACAGCGAGGAAATTCTGGCATCAGCGCGCACCACACACCCATCTCCAATACCGGTCTTGTCCCGCAAAGTCCACGCCTTGTTTAGTTCTTGTGTAGATACTCGTGACTTTGTCGACCACAACAACCTGGAACTTTCTCTACGGTTGCACATCCGCACGTACTCCAAGAAACGAGCAAAAGAAACGAGCAAAAAAGGAAAGCCGAGCAGGCAGAGAGAGGGAGAGAAAAAAAAAACGCCCGTTGTGGCACCCGTTTCACAAGAACATAAAAACACCCATGTCTCCCCTTCGACCCGGGGGCCCAGCAAACAAACTATGGTAGAGTAGAACACGAAAGAAAGCTTCTACATCGACGACGATCACCACCACCACCGACGTCACAGAATTTTCGTAGCAGAAAGTTGGGGAATCGTTGTGTGGGGTGATGGACGTTGCTGAGCCAAGTCTGGGGAGCAGGGGCCGTTCCGCCAGCCGGGGCTTTAGATGTATTAGTTTTATGCTAGATGGGATGGCCGACGATTTGGCACGGACACGTTGTGGCGCGAACCGCTTTGACTTGGAGGCCCAGCTGAATGTTGTGGTGTGTGTTCCCGCGATGTGATGCGATGCGATGCGATGTACTCCGCATCACTCAGCCACAGAGGCTTCCAATCCTGGATGCCGTTCATGAATGCTCGGTAGCTAGCGCGGGATCGACAATAACCTCCACAGCATTCAAGTTGATCGTTCCCAACCAGTAGCCCGAATAGGCAAGAATTCAGAATGCAGCAAGCAACTTCACATAGCGTCTACATGAATATTCATGTAAATCTAAATTAATTAAGAGTATCTACCTACTCCTTTCGCCTCTGCTATGGAATCCTGGGGTAAAAAAGAGAAACACGCCGGCAAAATCAAAACAATAAAATTCGGCTCTTCGACCGCACAGCGTCCTCTTCCTGTACTACACTGGCTCGTTGAAAAGCGCCAAGGTTCATCAACTAAATCATCCCAAGCCACTCGACCCTTCCGTCATTCTTGCATTCGTCAAGGTATTGCGTCGTCGGTGAAATAAATCGTCAAGGCCAAAAGGCGTACTGGTCATAAAATCGGTACAGAGAAGTGAAACAGTGGCGAGGCCAGCCGTGAGGCCCTGAGCCAAGCCACATAGGTAGGCGGCTCAGAACTGGCTCGAGATCACAGCGCTTAAATGAGATAAGCAAAGACGCCAACGGCGGCGGCGGCGGCAGCGATGCCCTGGCCGGCGGCCATAGTGGGAGCGGCCAGGCCATGGCTGCTGCTAGTCGACGAGGCGGAACCGCTGCCACCAGTCTGGCTAGTAGCCTGGGGAGAGGCAGAGGTAGCAGAACCTGAAGCGCTGCTGGAGCCGCCCGTAGAAACCTTAGTAGGGTCCAGGGTACCGCAGTGCGACATGATGTTGGATTTGCAAAGCTTCTGGTTGTTGGCGTTGCCGACGTTCTGGCTGGTGCATTGATCAAAGAGCTTCAGGCAGATGAAGGTGGGCATTGTCTGAGAATAGTACTCAAGGCCGGGGGTGCTGCTGTTGGAGCTGCAGAGGCACTTGTACTGGAGGGTGGTCTAGGTAAGACGGTCAGTCGCTGTCGTGGCTTCGCAAACGGCAAGTGACGGCGCAATGGGTAGCAAAACGTACAGCAGAGCAGTCATTCGTGCTAGCATCATTGTTACAGAGCTGAGAGCAGGTGTTGGTCTCGGCATTGCACCACTGGCCTATGTGGAAAGAAGCATTAGCACACATTTCATCGACTGCGGCGAGGATGGAGCTAGGAAAGCTTACCGCGGTCCTGAGCAGGGACCTGGTTAGGGTCAATCGTCATGTCGAGCGAGCTGGTGTAGTTCTGGACCTGAGCGGTGGCAGCACCGGCGGCGGCGAGCGCGAGAATGAGGCTCTTGGCGAACATTGTGGCGGCGGAGGAAGCGATTGGACTTTGATGAGAGCAGGCGAAGTTAGCAAGAAGCGATGATGACAAGTCGACAAGATGGTGCGCGCAAACGGCGAGGACCCGAGACCATGTTTGGGCTGGGCCTGGGCAAATGGGAAAGGTGATGAATTACCTCGTGGGGAGAATGGTGTTATGGATATAAGATTAATGAGTTATTGAGTCGACTGACGAGCAGACGGGCGGATGCTGAAGCAGAAGCAGAAGCTGGTTGGGGGAAAGGAAGAAGAGAAGAGAAGATCAGATTCAGAAGCAGAAGATGACGAGAGGGCTTTTCCAGGTTTAAGAAAAAAAAACAGGTGGGCAGGGCAGCAGAGGGTGGGCAAGCTCATGGACGGCAAGAGCTGGCCGAACTGGCAGGGTTTATAACTGGGGAAGCCGACGAGGAGGAGTCTTAGAAATGGGCGCTAGTCGCCGGGGCTACTGCGGAGCCACAGTGGTACTGGTAAATACCTAGAGAGAGACAGTTTTTGTTACCTACAGGCGACGGATTACTGGTACCGGCGAGGTGGGCAAGTCTATTTTTTGGTGCTTCCAAGGCAAAAGCCGCTTGGGAAAAGGTACGGCCATACGTTTCCGCAGTTGTGTAGGTTCGTTCTTGGCGTCAACTGATTCCATGTGGCTGGCCCAGATACGGATCGTGGGATAACTAAGCAAAAGGAAGAGGATAGAGAGACTGATGAGAAAGACGAGCGGCTGGGTCGGCGGCGAAAGCAGGTACCAGATACCAGATGGGCGCTGGATCCTCTCTCGTCATAAAAATGCGTTACGGCCTGATGCCAGGTGTGTTATCAAGTCTTGGCTTCAATATGTGTCTGAGCAAGTGGTTGGGGGCTGCCAAGACGACGCTAGCCGAGTCTCTACAGGCCATTTCGCAGGGCGACGGGCCTCTCCGTACCACTGTTCGCCGTTGCACCTAATGAATACTGGGTACTACATATGTGTGAGGTGGGACATTGAATTGGCCAGCATGGCATGACGCAGGTAATTTATATCAGCGTGGGTAATAAATCACGGCTTTGAAGCTGACGATGCAGACTTCCGTTCCTTGCACTAGCCACACTCGTCGGTCCACTGTAGGTTCCCGTCTTCCAGGTACCGTTTTAGTGTCTCTCATCAGCCGTGCCAGCCGGGGTCACCATCCGCTAATAGCCAGCCGTGCAGGCATATCCCGTTGCCACTCACTCTTCAGCAATTCACTTGTCTGCGACTTGCCAAGCCACAGGTGCAGCTAGGTGCTACAGGCTTCTCGTATTCTTGCAGTTGACTTTTCTCCGGAACTTTCACTCCATTGCCACTGCCCTTGCGCCCCTGCCCTGGTTGCCTGGCTTGCCACGCCCTCCATCGCAGACAACAACGGAGCTCCCGCCATGGCCCACTATCGCCTTGCGCCTCGGCTTTCGTCATGACCCCATCTCCTCCATCTGCAATTACAGCTTCCCATGGCAAATGTTTCCATGAGACCATGACGTTTCTCACGTCACATCCTGGTCACCCATCAGCCTTCTTTTTTTTTCGCCCTTGTTCCCCTACTATCCCCTCACGACACCCTCATCACAACCTTCACCATGCCCTCACCCCCGTGCCCGTGTCGCATAACAGTGTCATGCCCCAGCACTGCAACACTCGTCCCACTGGAATGCCGTTGCGCTGGGTTACATGACTTGACTGTTGGACATGGTATATCATGCGTATTGCTCACTGACAACATGCTCTCATGCGTCTCAATCATCTCCACAGCAGGTAGCAGGTCGTGTACACTGTACGAATTATGTTCAATGCGATGGAGACGGAGGCCATGATATGCATCGCTGCCTTGTTCACTTCACTTCCAAGGTCCTCATTGCGAATCATGTATCCTGACGTGTGATGGATTCGACTGTGGCGCAAACTCCCAGCCACCACTGCAGCGCCTCTAGCCAGCCACCTACCCCAACTCCCCAATTGCTTCAAGTCAGCTCTGCTTGCTAAAAAGAACGAGCCACTAATATACATCACCTCATCTCAACTTGTCGCAAGTTGACTAGCTGGCCAATAAAGTAAAAACAAACATGAAGCAGCTAAAGCGCACTAAAACGCCCGCCACCAACTGCCCAGATCTGCGACCTGCCCAACTTGGCTGTCCACGTTGACCGGCCTTTTTTTTTTTTGTTCAGAGGCCGCCACAGAGTGTCCCGCGACGTTGGTGGCTGAACAGAGCACTACAAATTATGTCCTGCACGGGCCGCTGCAAAAGGCCTCCTGCATATCCGAACGGAGCATCCTTATGAACCACGCCTCGTCAATCAGTAATCAAACCACAATCTAATAATGCATCGCTTGCCCCAGGCTAATCTATTTTGCCTACTCGTCAACGGCCTCCGCTCCCATCGCAGCCTGCACCTCCCGTCTTCTCGTCGTGCTACCCTGCACTACCTACGGGCCCTACGGGCTGCCATACCTCTCCGATGCTACACGACTGCCCTAACAACCTTCTTTCACCTTCGGCGTCACACAAAAAGGTGCTGGTGCGAGGGAGCACAATGATTGCAGTACTACGAGTACGATGTGTCTGTTCTGTCAGTGTTGTCTCAATCTAGACACAATGTCACGTATATATGCCTCGGCATGACAGGCCGTTGCCCTACCCTATCGCCGAACAACACTACAGCTGGCATAATTTCATAGCAGATTTCTAATTTGATTCTGCGTGAGAAGAATCCAGCCAATCTTCACAAAGCCCTCAAATACTGGTTGCGCTCACCGATACACAAGACTTGACGTATCCGTGGAAAAACAGGTAGAAGAAGGACATCGTCACGTGAGGCAACAGACGTCTTTTGCCCCGGTGGGCGAGGTCCCTGTCCAACACAACTTGAGAACTTTACGAGTTGGTCAACTCAGTCGAGCTTTGTTCATCTTGTTGGCATTAATACCAGGAACCGTCGTCTGCAAACTACAGTACGACTCAAGGTTAGACCCGCCCCGGGTCCGCCCGCCACCACAACTGGCGCTAAACCGCTGTTCTTGGTGGTGCCGATCCATCCCTGAGTCTCGAGCTTCATCCACCAGTAACCATAGTTGGGCGCATCCTTGTTCCCGTCATTGGCCAGATTAGCAGCGGCAAAAAGAGCACAAGTTGAGCCGACTACAAGGAGACTCCCAATGATGGATCGTCTCCCGTGGGAGCTTTTCCAGGACATTCTGCTGGTCTTTGCACACAACGCCACCAAAAATGACGTCCTTACCAAACGCCTCGTTTGCCGCGACTTCAACCACATATTGCGGCCCCTTGGCTGCCGCACCATCAGCCTGGAATTGACGCGGCTGAGCAAGCTTTACAATGTGCCCAAGCCTCGCTCTGATGGCTTGCAGACGATAGGGCATCGCTGCAAAGCTCTGCACATTGACATGACAGTTCTGCGAGACGACGGTTAAGAGCATCCCCCCTTGTCACGACTTGCACTGCAAAAACTGACACACACTTGTAGACGAGGTCGAGGTGCTGAATAGTGAGCTGCAGCATCTCCCCAGTATGCAGGGCTTCTGCCATGCGCTGCGGCATCGATATTCCTTCAGCGACGCGGGCTTCACGGAGCTCGACTTCTACCAGACCACGGCCGAGGTCCTCTTCTACTGCCGGGACATTGACCGCGTGCGCATCTGCCTCCCGCAGTCCATCCGCGGCTCTCATTGCGGCGTCGCGACCCGCGTCCTCGCCAACGCTTTCAAGGCGCTGGGGCAGCGTCCCGAGGAGGACTCGGCGCCGCTCAAGACGCTCGTGATTGACAACATCCCCGAGGTCACGCTGTGCGAGCTCTGGATAAACCCCTCGGATGTTATGAACATGCAGGCTCTGCTGCCATCGGTTGAGACGCTCGCGCTCAGCACCAGGTGTTTCGATCGTGTTTCTTTCTCTGCTATCATGTTTGGCGTCGCTCTGTGGAACATGATATCCAGCACACGCAATCTCCAATCACTCTATTTAGCGTGTTCGGGCGCCTCCAGAACTGTCAAAGATGACAACTTACCGGAGGAGGTTACTCATCAAGACATGGATTTTACACAGTGGCTGGAAAGAAGGTTGTCTGGGCCCGGCCCACAAGTGACCCTTCCCAAGCCTACGTATCTGGAGCTTCGCCATGTTGCCATGCTACCAGAAGAACTGCTGCACATTGCTGCTGCGTTCGGGCCGTCGCTGGAAGAACTCCATCTGTTTGATGTTTCCCTGATGATAGAACAATCCCTCACGAGCAACGCCGAGTCCGATATGCATCTTTGGGTCGGCCTTCCCAACGTAGACGCTGGCCCCCGTCAGTGGATGGCGATGCGATTCCGCGCGCTGATGCCAAACCTGCGCATCTGCCGCTGCTCCAACCTCAATTACAAGTCCTACCTCCACACCACCGGGCCCGTCCAACGCGTCTTTGACTACGCCGACCCCGCCCGCATCGGCCGGTCCATCGCCCAGCGCTTCGTCGAGGTGGTCACGGGCCTCCAGCAGCCTTCCCTCCCAGACGGGACCCCCATGCGTTTCCACCCGCACGACGATGAATTCGACCATCTCCTGCACAACCTCACGGAGCGACGGTCGCGCATCCCCATAGCAGAGTACGACTTCGAAGCGCACAGACTCGCGGCCGCGGACCGGCCGCCAGACTACCAGCACAGCCTGGACGGCCTCTTCGCCAACTGCGTCGACGGCTCGAGGCGGGAGATTCGAGGCATTGTGGACAAGGTCGTGGAGGGGCTCATGGCTATTGAACGGCTAGATCTTGAGTCGCTGCACCTCGGCAATACTGGGCCAGGGCAGGGTTTGCCAGACCCGGCGGCGGGGAGTACGTGACACAGGGTAACCAAGGACGGCTACTTGGAAGTATGTATGATCAAGTATTGTGCCGCTCACGGGTAGGTAAAATGTATGTGTCCATTTCTAACAGCTCACCGGCGCTGTCAAGACGAAGATGAGCACGAGGCGCGTCTGAATGGCCTGTGCAAGCACTTGACCGGCGTGGCGTTGCTTTTAACAGTCACTTTCTTTGGGCTTACGATGCGCGGCGACCTTGGGCTTACGATACGAGGCGGTCGCCGCGGACGCATTCTTATTTCACTTGAGTGAAAACACGTGGTGGTAAGAGAAGAGCGTTAAAAATTCTTTTCATTTCAGTGCGTGGGCATGTGGTAGCCTCTGCAGAACGGTATTCGTCAAAAATCCCTGGCTGAGGTCGGCCGGTACAAAAGCAGTAACCCAAAACATGTCTATGATTTATGCATGTTTCTTCCAAAGTTGACCCGTCTTCTTCGCTTGTTGCTCATAAACACGTAAAAACTCCCAGATTTTTCTCCGGTATGCATCAATTTGCTCGCGAAACGTCATTAGTTCTTGCCAGAGACGGCAGCGTCGAGGGCCTGAAGGATGTCGTTCTTGAGGTCCTCGGCGTCCTCGACGCCGCAGCTAAGGCGGACGAGGTCGTCAAAGACGCCGACGGCCTCACGCTGCTCCTTGGGGATGCCGGCGTGGGTCATGCTGCTGGGGAGCTCGACTAGCGACTCGACACCGCCGAGGGACTCGGCCAGGGTAAAGATTTTGGTGAGGGAGCAAAAGCGCTCGGCGGCATCGTGGCCGCCCTTGATGCGGAAGGAGAGCATGCCGCCTCCCATGCCGTTGCGGTGCTGCTTCTTGGCGATGGCGCGGTGCGGGTGCGAGTCCAGGCCCGGGTAGTTGACGGCGATGACGTTGGGCGAGGCCTCGAGGGCCTCGGCGACGGTGGTTGCGTTGTGGGTGGCCTCGCGGGCGCGCAGGTGCAGCGTCTTAAGACCGCGGTGTGCGAGCCACGCGTCAAAGGCGGAGGGGACGGCACCGATGGCATTTTGGAGGAAGCTCAGGCGCTTGTACAGATCATCCGAGTTGAAGGCAGCGACGCCCATGACGACGTCACTGTGGCCATTAATGTACTTGGTGACGGAGTGCACGACGATGTCGGCGCCGTGGTCTAGGGGGTTCTGGACGTAGGGGGAAAGGAAGGTGTTGTCGACGACGACCAGGATGCCGTGGCGGTGGGCGACGTCGACGACTTGGCGAATGTCGACCAGACGCAGGGTCGGGTTGCTGGGACTCTCAATCCAGATGAGGCGGGTGTTCTCGTTGATGTGCTCAGCAATGTCGACCTCAATCTCGGGGGTGAAGGTGACCTTGACGCCGTGGGCCTTGGCGACCTGGGTGAAGTAACGGTGGGTGCCGCCATAGACATCGGAGACAGAGATGACGTGGGAGCCGGCGGCAAGACTCTGGAGGATGTTGGCGGTGGCAGCGGAGCCGGAGGAGTAGGCGAGAGCGTAGCGGGCGTGCTCGAGGGCAGCGACGGCCGTCTCAAAGTTGTTGCGGTTGGGGTTAGCAGAGCGCGAATACTCAAAGACGCCGACGGGCTTGCCCACGGCCGTCTGGGCGAACGTGGTGGACAGCGAGATGGGCTCAATGACAGCGCCTGTGGAGGGGTCGTGAGGGGAGCCGGCGTGGACGGCCAGGGTGCCGAAGCGGTGCTCTGGCGTCGGGGGCCGGGGCGGCGTCTCGACAGAGGGATGGTCTGTGGTGGTGGCAGGTGACATTTTGACGGGGATTGTCAAGTTGTGGCGTCTCTACGCTTGTAGGGGGTTGTTTGGCAATGCAAGAAGCTCTCGAAAGGGTCAGAACCGGAGTAGCAGAGATGCAAATTGCGCAGAGTTCTACTCCGAGGGAAGCGGGCAGCCCTATTAATAATAGCGAATCTGAGCTAGTTTTGCGTCCCTCTTTTGATCCGGTAAACGCAGCAGGGGTTGGGGCTCGGTTTGAGACGGGCTGGATAATGAGTGTGAAACTTGAATAGAATTGTGGATGCTCACGCTCACGCGGATGCCGGTCGTGAAGAGGCTGGTGGGAGAGTAAGGGTTAACGCCGTGGTCGGGAGCGGGCGGCCGGCTGTCGGAGAGGGAGATGAGATGGATGGCGTCGAGCTGATGGTCAGCTGGACAGCTGGACACGATGCTGCACGACAGGAAGGGGCAAGCTGTCTCGGGTGGAAGAATCGTGAAATGTCCCAAGTCTCTGAGTCTCGCGAGTTGTAAAACCAATTGCCCTAGGTGGTGCAGATATTCCACAGTGGAGAGAGAGCGAGATGATGTGCGCCGGCAATTGGATGGGAAAATTTCTTTTCGAGAAAAATAGAAAAATTAAGGTCGAGATACCCACTGCCACTGACGTCTGCTGTGCTGCACAGAGGTCCACTTGAGTCAGTTCGCGCGGAGCTTCAGGATGGTGTCATTGAGGCAGATGCTTACCACAGACTTGCTGGACGCGAGAGGCGAGGGTGTAATTTAGTAAATGATGGCAGCCTGTGTTTTGATGAAGCAGGTTCCAAGATGGAGAGCTGAGGTACCGAGCCGGTGACAAGTACTGGCACTTGCGACGAAAGGATGAAGGCGGGTAGGATCGATCGTTGGAGGAAGAATGGTGGTGTAAGTTGCGAGGGAGGTGCAACAGATGGCGATTGAGCGGGCTTATATAGCGGCAGACGGGGAATAGATGACGGAAGATAAAGGCAGGATCGAGAAAAGAGAAACTAACCCGATGATGACATTTGGACGATGGAATCTGTAATCAGGTCATGTCAAACAAGGGCGTTTGTCATCACGGTGAAGGTTGGTGCGGCGCAAAGCGCAAAGCTGTCGGCTGCCAGGTGCCAGCCAGCCCGCCGTCAGCGGTGGGGCTGAATCTGTACTCGGTACCTGTGCCGAAGCTGGCCGGTTGCGTACCATTTGTTGTATCGGGTACCCGCAGAACCATCCTTGTCTGGCATGTTGGCGCTGTCACGCTCGATTGCGCCATCGCTGGCCACATTTCGCATTTTTCCTCTGGCACCGAATTTGCAACATGCCCATGCCAAAGGTGAGCAGGTGAATTCCGCATTCCCCGCTAGAGGCTTCCATTGTCTAGCCTGGCTTATGCAACCTGCGACGTCACCGCCTTTCTCCTCTTTCCGTCAAGCCCTGCTAGGGACTGGGCCTTTCCTGGCTGGCAGCTGCATCGTCAGGCAGCCATTGATGATATCTGGCTCAACACCGTTTCGGTTGCTCATGCCTTGCTCGGCGGCGTCTTTGGCGTCAATGGTCGATATTCGAGAAAATGAGAAAAGGAAAAGTACGAAGACTGCCAGCTCGTGGCAGCTAGCTGTTCCCTGCCTGGTAAATCGGATCGTTTTGCGGTGTCGTGAGCATCGGCATTCCCAATAACCACGCCGCTATTGCGAAAGATAGGAGCATAGCCTCTCAGGAGACCGAAGCAGTCGATATTGCTGGTCAGCGCAGACAGCTCGCAAACAAGCGATTAGGTGCATCCGCAGGACTGGCCGCCCTACTTCGCCGTTGACGAATCTCTGTAGGGCGCATCGTTTAAAGCTGTCGAAGAGAACAAATTTTATAGAACAAAAGATTTGTCTGGGGGTCCTTGTCGATTACAATCCACACTGGCGTGGCCATGAATTTATACGTAAAGGCAACGTCACACGCCATCACGGGCCATCGGCCAAACGGACAGGCCTGTTAATATTCTGCTGGCGACGCTCCGAGAAGCCAGCCATGGCGTGCTTTTCGTGGAGCTACCCGTACGAATGATGTCTTCTGCCTGCTTGCTACTGGCCTAGATCTGGCGGCCTGAGATAGCTTTCCAGCATGGAGGCAGGGCGTTGGAGGACTCTGAACATCAAGCGCTGCACTTATGTTCTTGGCGCATGCTGTATCGATTGCAAAGCCAACTAAACTACGGTCGAAAATGGAGGGAGGTCATGTCAAGCCATCCAACGAAAAGTTTTTTGTGAAATAGAGGTGCCAATGACGTGAAAAAGAGGATTACAACGATGACGCTGCAGCCGGAAAATTCTGAACCATACGCGAATGGTCTGCAGCTGCGCGGACGGTGGTTTCGCCGAAGGTGGAACACACGTGTGGGCTGCGCAGCAGGCTGACATATCAGCAAATGCGCATAGAGAAGATCTAGCCAAGATAAATCAAGGACCGATTCCGGTATTAGCACAGCGTAGTCGGCACGGCGCAACCTTTAATACGAAACAACAAACCGGAGTGCCGTGGAAGGCTCGAGTGGTTCGGACCCGGGGCCTGGAGTCCAGCCGTACTGAGCGAGGCCAGCCTTTTTACTTATTTCGATTACGGGGCGTCGTACTCGTACCGAACCGGCTTCAACCCGGAACGGGGCCAAAGGCAGCCGGCAACGTGTCCGAGCAAGGGGGTGAACCTGGTTGCCTTGGGGCGGATCTGGGGTTTCATTTCCTACCGCGCCGCCATCAAGGCGTGCCGGGGTATTCTCTTCAAGGGCAGATTTCGGTGTTTTACGAATCGACAAGCCTCCCGTAGATACGTCATCTGCAACCTCAGGGCGGCTGTACAGCAGCATCGGTAGTCGGGGATGTCGACTTTTTGCGCTTGGGCCGATTTCGCACCGACATCATCCTTTTTGAGCCACGAGCGGAAAAATGATAACGTCAAGTAACTGTTTGATTCGCCAACGTAACCACACTGTTTCAGTAATCGGTGATGGCGGCCGGCGGTAGCGTGGGCTGGCTTTGGATCAGGATTAGTTGAAGATGCGGGATACAGCAAGTGTGGTACGAGGCTGAAGGTTGTCAGCGAGCTTACAGGGAGGGGAGGTACATACATACATACATACATAGGTACAGTCCGGTGTGGCAGTGCAGTGAGCGGGTGCTGCGCCCATCGTTCGCCCGCCGCTGATGCGTTTGCAAAGTTCCGCTGCACAATATACGCCACGACGCAGGGGCTTTTGGGAGGCCGTGAGTGTGCATGCAGGGAGATTGCGTTTGCGTGCTTGCCTTTCGCAATCAACTGATAACTGATACATAATTCTATGGATTCTTGAGGTGATAGAATGTATAGAAACCCGACAGTATCTTGCATCATGCCTTATTGCTGACTGCTCCGCTGTACCAAGGTGTATTCCAGCTCTAGGCAGCTAACTAGACCACTAAGGAGCTTGCCTGTAGCTTCGTTCCAAGAAAACCAAACACTAACAACAAGATACAATACAGATTGATTTGCAATAAAGTTTATTGATTGTACGGCGTAATTAGCAGCTTTGCTTTTCGCCCCGGCCGTCCCCCTACTTTCTCAACCGACATGCTGTCTTGTGGCTGTGCAAAGTGACGCCTAATCGTATGTATGTAGGTACATAGCTTCAGAGCTTCAGTGCTTGAGGCTGTAGTTTGATGCCCTGGCAGGAGGGGCCGTCTCGCGCTTTCTCAGTTCTTATAGTACCAACTCCCAACCAAGCGAAGAAAAAAAGCAACGAGGCCCACCAACAAACTCCAAGCTGACCCTGTCAAACCACCGCCGCCCGCTAACCATCAACTTCTCCAAGCCTGAGCCATCTGCTCTCCCTTTCTCCCATCGTCTGAACGCCCGTCTTCATCTCTCGACTCTTGCTCTGCCTCGCTCAACCGTCCGTCTTGTGGCTATGCCCCAGGGGAGCATTCAACTTGCTCTCTCAAACACCCACCGCCGCCCCCGACGATAGCCCAACGCCCGCCGCTCAACCTCCCATTGGTGCACTCTACGCCGCCCTTGCCAATTCGCGATGCCGCCGCGTCGGTCTCACAAAAAGTCGCGTGCGGGATGCCGCAGGTGCAAGAACCGCAAGATCAAGGTACGCCATCTCTGCTGCTGGCTCCCTTATCTATCTGTCCCCTCTCTCAACCAAACTGCCACTCCGGCGATGCGCGCCAACCGCAATGCCCGCCATATTCTTTGCGCCCAGCTCGCTAATGCCATTCCGTCCTCCCCCCTTTCAGTGCGATGAGGTTCACCCGCGATGTGGCAACTGCGTGAAACACGGCGTCATGTGCGATTTTGAGAACCCCGAAGTCCTCGACGAGCTGGCCGCCGCCGCCACACCCACCGCCGCGAGAAGCCCGCCGGTGCCTTCACCCACGCCTGTGCAGAACAACAATATTCACAACGGCCACGCCACTACTATCAATGGAAACGGCATAAACGGCATGAACAGCTCACGGCCGTCTCCGCGCAAGCAATCTCCCGTGCCTGCGCCGTCCGTCTCGTCGCCATCCGTCACAGAATCCCTCCACAACTCAGCCACCCAAAGCATACCAAGCGTCCAGAGCGCCCCAAGCGTCCAGAGTCTGCCGAGCGTCCAGAGCCTTCCGGGAATCCAAAACCTCCCGGGAATCCAGAGACTCCCGAGTATTCAGAGCTTCCAGAGCGGCCCGCCGCCGGCACCCGCCGCTGCCCCCCCGCGCCCCGTCGATCGCATGCTTGAGCTTCGGCTCTGGCATCACTTCACCACGAGCACCTACAGAACTCTTCTCCACAACGTACCCGCTGCCGATGACATCTGGAAATTTGAGGTACCAAAGTTGGCATTTTCCGGCAAGACATATCTAGCCGACGCTATTCTTGCCGTGTCGGCCCTCCACCTGCGATCCCTGAATCCAGACGACAGGAACCTTGTACAGGCCACGCATGCCTACTCTGCCTCTGCCCTGGCCGACTATTGCTCCTCCTTGGCCGGTGGTATCCAAGATGAAAACGCAGAGGCGCTATTTCTCACCGCATGCCTCATAGGTTTCCAAGCCACGGCCTCCCGCATATTCATCAAGGATGATAGTGAAATGACACCTAGTACGAGCAAAAACCCATCCCGATATCCTCTACCTACAGCTTGGTTCCACGCTTTCCAAGGTGTTAAGACCATTGTCGCAACCTCATGGCAGTGGATTTTTAACAGTCCTACTGTCGTCGCCGTCATCAATTCACAACCTAGTTTCCAGCTGGACATGAATCCTCTAGGTTCCAGCTCCTTTTTCGGCCACCTCCTCGAAGGCGTAGAGGACGAGATATCGTCAGAAGACCCCCAGGTGAATCTGCTCTCTCAGCAAGGATACGTCCACGCCGTGTCTGTTCTCAACTGGGCTCATCAGAACCCGTATCCGCCAGCAACTCTCGCCTTCCCAGCTGCCGTCTCTAAGCGGTTCGTCCAACTCCTCGAGGCCAAACGCCCGCGCGCGCTCGCCATTGTCGCGTGCTTCTTTGCGTTGCTGAAGCGCATGGACAACGTCTGGTGGTTAGGCGACGTCTCGCGGCGCGAGGTCATGGGCCTAGTGAGTCTGTTTGAGCCCGGCTCCGGCTGGTGGCGGCACCTCGAGTGGCCCGTCCGCATCGCGCTCTGGGATGGTGACGCCAACGCCATTCCCGCCTCCGTGTGGGGAGCCGAGTGTGAAGAGGAGCCCACGGGCGAGTACGGCCTGGTCGAGACGATGAAGAACCACGTCGAGCTGCTGGCGCGTATGAGCCACGCCATCCCACAATCACCGACAGCGGACTTGACGGACATTGCCGGAGAGTTGGGCTTCGCTGCTGTACCCTTGGATTAGTGGCCTTGGATTTAGCATGGATGGTTTGAAACGAAGGTGTTTGTCGGCGCAACTCCACTAGGACTTTGTGTTATTGTTTTTCAAGCGTGGGTTTAACGGAACGAAAAAAGCAACATTTTCGGGCTCGACAAAGCATGGGAAAAGGCGTTGGTTGTGGCGGTTCCACCGCTGGAATATTTGTATTGAATCACGATATATTATTATCGTCCCTCTTACTTGGGCAGCGTTTACTGTACCATTTGTTTGGCTTTCTGGTTAGGAGATTGGAGGGAATATATAGATGCTATCTTTTAGCAGGACATGGGGATCGATTGGAAGCGAGATATCTTAGGCAGCAAACACAAACGATGATTTGTCAAGTTTTAAACGTGTCAGAATGCGACTCTCGGACCGATGTAGAGCTATTGCGCTCTGGTTGAGTCCTCTAGCTTCGCCATGGGGGGTTGCGCCCAGGTTTCGATTTCGACTGTGCGGCAAGTATCCGGACAGGGCCGACAAAAGAGCAGCCGGACGCGGTAGGCGCAATTTCCGCGAGCTGGCTGGGGCGTGATAGTTTCCAGCCCAATGAGAAAGAGGCGTGAGTCCGCAAACGCTCATCGCACATGTTGTCAATGTGCATCGCTTGAGAGATGCCTCGCCATTCTCAACGAGCCAGGCCCTCGAATCCCATTGTACAGTACAGTACAAGGGCTGAGGATTCCATCTCAATGATGTTGGTTGAATGTGCACTGTTCGTTGCATCATCCTTCGGAGTTGCAGATCAACTACATACCGAGTCGTCGTAAGGTGTATCCGTAGGCATGACCGGCGGATCAAGGTGTAAGAAGATACCGGCCGTCGCTCTTCTCGACGACATCGCAGTAGCCCACGAGCCAGTCTCCATAGGGCCTGACGTCCTTGGGCAGCGCGCCGATCGCGTCCCGGACCCACGACACGATGACGTCCTTGCGCGCCGTAAAGGTCAGCTGCTCCGAGTCCTTGAGGCAGAACTGGCCGAGGAGGTAGTCGACCAGGAGCATGTGCGCGATGAGCAGCCGGGCCGGGTGGTTGTCCTTTGCGATGAACGCCTGGAAGTCGTCGTTGGAGAAGTAGCAGTGGGCGCGCCAGAGGGCCGCGTGCGCGAGCCAGGCCTGCAGCGACGAGACGCGCAGGCCCTCGACGGCGTCGGCGACGCGCTGGCAGTAGTACAGCTCGCGGGGGCTGTCCACGCAGAGTTCCCTTGCCGCAGCGACGGAAGCGAGGAAGGCGTCGGCCAGGGCAAAGTCCTTGGGCTCATCCTCGCTGACGATGCGCGACAGGTTCTCCGAGTGGCTCTCGTTGGTGAAGGAGCGGAAGACGGAGGAGCCGTGGGCGGGGATGACAAAGGCCCAGACGAGGGCGCCGGCGCGCGTGATGGTCATGTACTCGGCGATGCCGTCGGGCAGCAGCGTCGTCTGCGCGGCGAGGCAGATGAGCGCGGCGAAGAGCGAGTCGGCGTTGTCCTGGTCGCGCGGCGGTCGGGCGAACTGCTCGTTGACGATCTTGAGGGCCGACACGCGGTGGGCGAGCGCCTGGGCCGAGTAGTCGACGTTGCCGTGCTTGCTGAGGTGCAGCGCGCCGAGGCCGAGCGCGGCGTGGGCGAGGCACTCGGACTGTGATTGACCTGTTAGTTTGTTTTTTTTTCTTTTTTTTTTGGCATCTCATCGCCTCCTCCTCCACTTGCTTCTGCAACGTACTTGATGCGACATGGCGGCGCACTTCTTCCAGACCTGGTCGGCGCGCAGCGGCAGGGAGGGGAAGGCGGTGTTGAGGAACTGGTAGTAAAAGCGGAGGTCCTCGAGGCAGAGGGTGGACGAGGGCGCGCTCTGGACGAGGGCGGCGGCGGGTTGCGCGGCGGTGGCGTAGTCGCACAGCAGGCCGAGGCGGCGGCAGGGCGAGCAGGTCGGGCGGAGCTCGTTGCACTTGACGCGGCGGCGCTTGCAGTTGAGGCAGCCGAGGCGCGACTTGGAGTGTCCGCGGCGGCTGGCGCCCGGCTTGGCTGCGGTGCCGGCCTTGCCGTCGGCGGGCTGGGTGGTTGTAGTCGAGGTGGAGGTGGTGGTGTTGCCGCCAGAGGCCGTGGACGAGGACGGCGACCAACCGTCGGGGGAGCCGCTGCTAGTCGAGCTGGCTCTGTCGGCCGCCTTGCGCTTCATGGCGGGGGCGGGGAAACGACGAGGGAGAGCTACTACGTGACGATTGACGCTGCTGCTGTCAACGGAACGGACGGCGGGGAGACAAGGAGGCCGGGGCGAGTCGAGTCGAGTCGGCTAGCACGGCGCTGCCGCGACGAGGCGCATGCGGCGGCGTGGTTGAACGCTCGTGTATTCGGCGATGGTATCGGGAGGGCGGCGTTGGAACCTCGAGTGCTACGATGCACCACATGGAGAAAGCAAAAAGCGCGGAGGGTGAAGGAAGTTGGCATGAATCAAGAGACAAGACGAGAACGCCCGTTTGGTTTCTTGGTAAGGCTGGGCGGGGCCTAATGCAGTACGGAGATTGGGTGAAGGCGTTGGTGAGGTGAGTCTTGGGATGTGGCGCTAGGTCCGTGGCTTGCGTGGCTGAAGCAGTTCACAAATGATCGACCTCGCTTCCTCAAGCGTCCAAGAGCCTGTCCTCACAATTGCCCTGCAGAGGAGAGGGGCATGATGAGCCGACAACAAGGAAAGGGTACCCAGTAGGTGAATGATAATATTACCGCGCTTTCATTTGCTGATTTGTCCATGCAGGGCGTGCGGCCGGCAGACAATCAATCCCCAGAACCCGTCCCGCTACGACACCGAGGCGTGAACCTTGAAGTGCATCCGGCTTACTCCACGTGATGCTCAAGTTCAGCTCCGGACATCGCCGTGGAGGCATCGAGACTCGTCGCAATCGACTGGGTCAAGATGGACAAGCGCCCGTCTAATCATGCCACCCGACAATACCACAGCCACCCATTACACACAGGGTTGGATTGAAACCCAAAATTATAACCATTGGTGCATCTGCATCAGCATCTTGGTCACAGGAAATCTTGCGCGTACTCTAATAACTAGGCAGCAGCATTGCCAGAATTCCTGCTGCCTGGGCCCATCAGAACTGAGATATTAATACGAAGTGTCAGACCAAGTTCGTTTTTGATCCTGGAAATCCCCCCTTTGCAGGAATAATGCAAGGGGCGATGGAAAAGGTTGCTTCCCGATGATGTGTCGTTCGTGGGCCGGATACGGACCAATTTGTCGCCTGCACCGATGAACCAAAACGGCATTGCGATTACGACTGACCGAAAAGTGAAAAGACAAAGCATCAGTCTAAGCATATTTATATGTACCATTCCTCACCCAGTAATGCTATCCGACCGATAAAGGGCGTAACGACATCATATGAGTCATTTCGGCTCAGAGCCGGCGTCATTCAAAAGGAAGCTATATAAGCCAACTTGAACACCACTCAACAGCAATTGCATTATCATTATTGTGCCTAATACAAAAGAAATGGCTTCTCTGTGCGCCGAGTTGAAGAGCCGCCAGTGGCAGCGCGACGAGTACCTCATCACGACCGACTCGTCCGTGATCCCCCTCGACCGCCTCATCGACGTCTTCGACTCGCCCGAGTTCTACTGGGCCAGCGCCATGCCCCGCGAGCACATGCAGGCCGCCCTCGACAACTCTCTCTGCTTCTCCCTGTTCCGCGATGGCGACGACGAGTTCCTCGGCTTCGCGCGCTGCGTCACCGACTACACCACCTTCGTCTACCTCACCGACGTCTGGGTCGACCCGGCCGCGCAGGGCCGCGGGCTCGGCAGCTGGCTGGTGCGGTGCGTGCGGGAGGTGGTCGAGGAGATGCCGCACCTGCGCCGCAGCATGCTCTTCACGAGCAGCTGGGAGCGGTCGGTGCCGTTCTACAGGAGGCTGATGGGCATGGAGGTGGTGGAGTCGACGCCGGGCCAGGGACTGATCACGATGGAGTGCAAGGGCCGGGGGCATCCGCGGTACGGTAGCGAGGGCAGTCATTACGGCTAGATGTGTGCTGTTGGATGCAGTTTTCTTTGTGGAGGGATGTTGGATGTTGCAGCTACTTTGAAGGGCTCGCGTGCGGGACGCGCGTCCGCATCATGGCTTTCTTGATATATGATGTACCTTATTATATCAACTCTGATCGTTTACTTTTAAGATCTAGCCTTTGATGTCATTGCAACAAACTCGCTGTCGGCGGTTTGTCCAGGATCAGCATAGCATTCTGTCTAGGCAGAGCTAGAGCTGCATTGGAATCCGGTAATAACCACCACGGAGAAGAGCCAAGATCGAGATTAGCTACTGGCTCATGGCATGAGACCATGAGTTTATTGATGGAGATATTCCTAGCAAGCGAGGACGAGCTCATGGCCTGATGCACTGCTAATGCGCCCAAAGCTAGTGAGCTCTCAGTTCGGAGCGGCAGCTAGAGGGGTGCAGGAACCGTATACAAATTGTGGCATGCAATAACTCAAGTCGCTTTTCCAGTCGCAAAATCACCCAATCCAGTGCCAAGAATTGTCACAGAGCAGACTGGCCGTTTCGGAGCCGCAACGCCGTAGTCGGCCGGCCCCGCACCTCCGGGTCGTCGCCCGCTCCGCACACAGTCAGTGCCAAGACCTCAGGTTCTTACCGTACATTGTCTTTTTCTCACTACAGGGAGTCCTTGCTCATATGCTCCCCGACGTCACGTCTGCGATACCTCCCTCTCAAAGACTTGCCTCAAGTCATGCAAGTTCCCGCTGGAGCAGGTCAGCACTGTCAGTCAGCGGACCCTCGGGGCGTCGCCTGTGTCAGCACCGACGGACAATGGAACCCACCACCAAGGGGGCCGAATCGGCAGCCAGCCTCGCCGTCAGCTATCTTTCCCCAAGATGCATCGGCTGGCGTCTTTCGGGGGCAGACTATGTAAGGAGATGATGAGCGAAGGACGAGGCTCCGTGGCGCACCGCATCGTGGATGGCTATACGGTCAATTGGGTAACATGAACTCTGAAGTCATCCCGAACGCACAGGAGATGCCCGAGCCTTAAAGTCCACATCTAGCTACGTAAACGAGGTTCAGCGTTTGATTGGAAAGATTTCCTTGCTCTTCATCTGCTCGGCCGAGGTTATAGCATTGTTCTCTTCCTGCGCTTACTTCAGCACCTCTCTGCCGGGGGGGCGGACCGGCTTACACCACGAGGCCCTAGCAACTTCAGCTGCGGATTCCAGAAGACGAAAGGGAATGAAGTGACATGATCTGACCTGCCAATCTGCAGGGGTCACCCCCCGAGATATTCGCTCTGCATACCATTTGCGGTTTAATCGCTATTAATAGGTACTTTCGCTCTTTGTCATTATCTACCTCAATCCGCAGCTACGCAACATCGCACCCAGACAATCACTGGGCTAAAAGTACCGCAGACAGATTAAGTCAGGATAAAAAGAACAAAATGCAATATAATTCAATAAATTCTCCTCGATTCACTGTTTAAATTGACCATGCCAGGGCTCTCGCTACCCCTGCATCATTGTCTGTCCATCGCACAACCGTTTATTACTCAGCTTACTGTGGCAGGCCTCCAACACTTGTTGTAGTCCCGCTGGGAAATCAAAGAGCGGAAGTACCAATTTTTGCTATTTCCTTCGATGCTACAGCCGCTCACTTTCTGACCATGATGGAACCCACGCCATTAAGCTTAAAGGGCAGTTCGCAGGTGGTGATGATCACTGAGTATTAAGATGATTCCAGTGTCTCGTTATCACAGTACATAGCCAGGCTTACATACAGCCCAGAGGATGATGACTCTGCCACTATTACAAGTAACATTATACTTCAGGCTCTCTAATTGCTTCCTTTTGTGAAAATAAAAGCAAAAGGCTCGGACAAGGTTTCGTGGCTGAACAACTTGTCAGGACTAGCATGCAGCCAACTCGCAACCGGTTTCCCTGCAAGGTACAATTACCCGCACGCGGCAACCCCCCCGGCTCCTGGCCAACCAAACGGCCTGTGCCTGTGTGAGATCATAGCGTCCTCCCCTGCATCTCGGGATAGTACTGTGCCGCTCATCAAGGATCCCCAGTCTTCCATCCGTCTGCTGACAGCTGTGTGGATGCGGGAGCCATGTGTCAGGGCCATCGGGGAACTCGCGCGGCAGCCCACCAGCGACGGTCCCTTGATTGACGAGAGGCCGGACCGGGGGTGTGGAGGTTGGATCCATGGTGGAAACGCCATGATATCAAGTAGTCTTGTTAGCGTCGAGAGATGTACTTGGTAAGCAATGCGTCGCCGGGCATGGAGTCCCAGAGAGACCCAAAGCAGGAGGAGTTCCGGGAGTCTTGAAGCGAGCGCATCAGATCAGGGCGTCGGCGCCTGAGCTGAGAGGAGCTGAGGAAGCTGAAGCTGAGGGGAAAGATATAAAACGTATTGTTCTGCTCTTGTTCCAGCGGTCGTTGATCAACTCGTCGCCATCCAAGCAAGACACCGCAGACCCGGTTCAGTATACAGCCCTCAGCTTGTATAACTCGTCGTCGTTTCCAACTTTGCACTTGCCTCCGAGGTCCATCTCTCTCTTACCTTGCCATTGTTCTCCTTCCAACTACCACCGCCCCTCTCTCACAATGGAAAAGCCCGCCGCCGTCGCCGTTGCCACGCCGCATCCCGGCCCGCCCAAGAACTTCGCCTCGGGCCACGGCATCCTCTGCGCCGGCCTCCCCCGCAGCGGCACCGCCTCACTCAGCCGGGCGCTCGAGATCCTCGGCATCGCGCCCGTGCACCACGTCATGAAGCTCGACGACTGGCCGCAGCTATACGCTTGGGGCCGCGCCGCCTGGTGCCACTTCCCCTATCTGCGCGAGCACCGCCTCTTCCGCGCCTTCTACCTCGACCCCTACGACCCGCTGCTGCCCTGGTCGCGCGGGGACTGGGACCGCCTCATCGGGCCCTACCGCGCCGTCACCGATGTCGCCGCCTACTTTGGCCGCGAGATCTACTGCGCCTACCCCGAGGCCAAGGTCATCCTCGTCGAGCGCCAATTCGATCGCTGGGCGCAGAGCTATAGCGTCTTCACCGACTCGTGGCTCTACGGCGTCTGGGACCTCGTCTGCTTCCAGCTCGCGACGTGGGTTGGCCTGCCGTTCGTCATCGGCATCAGCGACGTCTACACCGGCTGGATGGGCGCGCGCACCGGCGCAGGGGCCAAGAAGCGCCTCCGCGAGCTGCACACGGCGCACTACGCCAAGATGCGCGCCACCGTGCCGCCAGAGAAGTTGCTCGACTTTCGTCTCGAGCAGGGCTGGGAGCCTCTCTGCAAGTTCCTCGACGTCCCCGTACCCGACGTTCCATTCCCGCATATCAATGAGCGCAGCGAGGTCCTAGAGTTCCGCAACGGCACCATCGAGGCGGTCCTGACGTGTCTGGCCATCCGTCTCGGCATCACTGCGCTGGGCACGGCGGCGCTCCTCGGTGTTGTCAAGGGTGCTGCGGCTTATGGCGTCTTTACCGTCCTCGGAGGGTACAAAGATGCCCTTTTCCACTTTCTCCTCAACTAGAGCCTTCACCGTTTTGCTTCCTGGTTGTCTGCATGATCTCTTCCGCCGTTTGTGTTCCCATTTTCTTTGAGGAGGGCGAGATGTTTCCTTTGTCTAGCGCGCGGTTATGATAATAGCATTTGCATCAAATTGAACTATACCTATGTATATGCCATTTCTTTTTAGCCTCCACTTGCTGTGATTAGCATTGTAGATAGAGATGATGATGCCGTTTGATCGACGTTGCCTGCGCCAACTGTAAGGGTACCAGAGTCATAAGTAGTAGACACCACGTCGACGTCTGCGCCGCATGCAGCAACGTATCCGTATGTATGTACATGCAATGCGTACCACAAATTGTTGGCGGGGAAAGGAATGCTCCCCAACGTCAACAATCAAGAGGAAACATTGACTCGAACCATTCCTCTTGCATCTCGCAAGGCCAAAGGCGCTTGAACGAAGTTGAGTGCACTTGTTTGAGCCAAGAGAGGCTACCTACCGCTGGCTGGCCCGTTCGACCTGCTAAAGCGATTCTAGACGCGCCTGAGGCTTGGTGCTGACCCACAACTTTCAGGACACCCTTCCTTCCTTCGCTCTGCCCTCCTTTTGACCGGGAGCTCAAGGGTTGCTTGCCCCCTCTGCATCTCAACGCGCGCAATACCCTTCTCAGGCATCAAAAATCAGTCGGAAAAGCAACGCTCAACATACTTCGACGATAGTGTCTCGATTCACCCGTGCACCAGACCCATCGCGACGCGGCTGCTGATCTACGCCAACAAGCACCAACCTTGACTGAGCTAAAAAAGCTGCTAGGGGTTGGACTGAAGGCAGCTCGCCCCTCGATCGCGTGCCATTCAAACGACAAAGCGACGACATCCTGCGAAGGACCTGCCGACAACGACATTAGCACGATATACTTTGCACACATTCGCGATGCCGTCCGCACGCCGACTGCGTCTGGTGACACTCGCCACCATCGCCGTCGTCGTCTTCGTCCTCTTCTACTTTGGTGGTGGCAGCAGAAACGGGCAGTCGGGCGATTTCTACCGTAAGACCATGGACGCCATGCACGGGCGGACGTCTCCGGCCGGGCAGACCGTCATAGACGTGGGGACAGGCCTCAAGACGGGCCACATACCGGCCGACCGCGATGGTGACGGCGATGTTGACGAAGACGACCGCCGCCAGGGCAAGGACCTGCAGCAACACCTGAGCGAGCTGGCCCAGGAGGCCAAGGATAACGCTAACAAGAAGGCCGGCCCCAAGCCGGACGCACCAAGCAAGCTTGTCGGCGTCGGCAACTCGGCCGAGGGGAATCGCAAGCCCGCGGATGCGGTCAAGGAGTCCAAGGAAGTCAAGGAGGCGGGCCCGGCGCCAGTGCCAAAGGGCAAGGATAAGGAGAGAGTACCAGAGACGCCTGCCGAGCAGGCCCTTCACAGCATTTTCAAAAAGGGACCTGGTATGTTTTTTTTTTTCATCCGTTGCTGCTTCCGCGAGTGAGCTGTGAGTGTGACGACAAGTTGCTAACCCGATATCCACAGTCGTTATCTTCTCCAAGACATACTGCCCGCACTCGCGGCGCGCCAAGGGTATCCTTCTCGAAAAGTACCTCATCTCTCCGCGGCCCGAGGTGGTCGAGCTCGACGAGCACCCGCTCGGCTCGGACCTGCAGGACCTACTACTCGGGCTGACGGGCCGCCGCACCGTGCCCAACGTGCTGGTCCACGGCACCAGCATTGGCGGCGCAGACGACATCGTCGAGCTCGACAACACGGGCCAGCTCGTGTCCAAGATCCAGGAGCTCGGAAAGCGCAAGGTTGAAGTGTCGGAGCGCTTCTCGACCGAGCAGGTCAAGGGCGCGGCGCCGGCGCCGGGGCACTAAGCGCGCGGGGCTGGGGAAGCGAGTGGTCCATTGCATCGGTTGAATAATATCCTTTCCTTGTATTGGTTTGGGGTGGCTTGGTACGGGTTGGCCTGGGGAAGTGCTCAAAGTTTACATCCATGACTTGTTAAGCATGGAGCGGTGTTGGGGCGTTTTTGATTGATAACGTTGTAAAGTTACGGTCCGTCAATTTTATGGTAGCGACTAATACACCACCCTACAGCCCGTCATCCCTTTCTTGATCCATATCAAACAAGTTAGACGAACTGAAGCCGAACAGGTTAGCCAACTTGGTAGCGGCGGGACGACTTTGCGGGGGCGGGACACCCGGTTGTCCATCAAGAGAGGTCACTTTTGGTATACACTACATAAGGTACCGGACGACATTTGCTTTGTGTACCCCCAACCGCTTCTTTTATTTCTTGCCCAACTTCAGTGGCCAAAATCTCAACTCAGCTTCTCTGTTGGTCATTCTCACGAGGTTCTGACAACCCACAATTTCCGTCGCGCGGTTTGTTGCGCTGCCCTTGACGCTGGATCAACAACAAAATAAGCGCGCAGCATTCGCTCACAGGAGCAAGTTCACCGGACAAAGGTGCAAATTTTCGTGTTCTTCTTTTGAAAAAGTACCCAATAGGACTTGTTATTTATTATCAGTGAGAATATCTCTCTCTTTGTCGTGCGCTCTGCGCAGATCGTTATGGCCATAAAACGACGGTGAAAAGTCCCCAAAAAATACACAAGAAACAGGTAATTCTATGATACAGTGTAGTTCTAACCTCCCACTGGTCGCTCATCAAGTCCGCTCACGGCACCCACCAGGGCCCTTACGAGGCAGGTGGTATGTGAGACAGGTCCTCTCCCGCCATGAAGTGCTCCAGCGCATCCATTCCAATTTGCCTATGACACGCAAGTTAGCATCATCATCCGCGTTTTATTTTTCAGTCGAGAGGGGGGAACATACGGCATGAGCATCGTCTTTGTAAACTCGTCCAGGTCGTCCGCACGCGCGTACGACCAAAAGTCCTTGAAGTCAAAGTCGCGGATGAAGTACTGGGGCTTGTCGCGCCAGGCGCGGAAGAAGTCGACTGACGACGGTGCCTCCCACAGGTGGCGCGAGGCGGTGAAGCGCAGGTCCTGCCACATGGCGCGGTTAACGTCGAGGCTCTTGAGCAGCTTGCCCATGCAGACAAAGGCGCAGGCGAAAAGCAGCGTGCGGCGAGCGCTCTCGAGCAGAATCCACGCGTCCCACGTTTTGGGCGGGCGGTCGCGCGCCGGGTACGCCGGGTCGCCGGCGGTCGCCCCCGGCACGCCGTCCGGTAGAATCCCGCCCCCGCCCGCGGGCACGTTGACCGCCCTCGCGTGCTGCACCGCCTCGGCCTCGAGCGTCACAACGACCTGCTGCAGCTCGCCGATCCAGGCCGCGAGCACGTGCGCCTCGCGCTCCGCCGCGGCGCGCAGCCCGACGTCCCCGTCAAAGATGCGGATCGAGTCTAAGATCAGCAGCGCCTGCACCAGGGCAAGCTTATCTTGCGGCGATGTCGCCGCCCCCGCCTTCTCCCCCTCGGCGTGCACCTCGGCCGCCGTGTCCGCGAGAACCTGCATGACCCAGGCGCGGTTGTCCGAGGAGCGGTGGGCATACGCGGTGGCGGCAGTCCAGACGGATTGGACGGGGCGCGGCAGGCGCGCAGCCCAGAGACGCGGGTGCAGGAAGGCCAGGGCGCGGGTGCGCGCAAAGGTGGCGTGCATGCCGGTCAGCGCGCGCACCGTGTAGCCCATCCACGAGCGCGGGTCGTGCACGGCGAGCGGGTCGTGTTGACCACTGCAGTCCATGCCACGGCGCAGCACCGAGGGGTCGCGGACGGGGGGGCGGGGGATCAGGGCAGTGCTCATCACCAGAGAGGAGGCGGACAACGGCGGGATGTCCAGCTTAGACGGCACGCCGAGGCCGCCAAACTGGTCGACGGAGATGCCCTCAAACAAGCTGGCGAAGAAGCTGTTGCTGCTGTTGGCGGAGAGTGTGGGAGGAGGGGGGCTGGCAAAGGTGGAGGACGTCGTCTGCGTGGTGGTGGTGGGGAGTGCGGTGGTGTTCATGAAATCGGCAACGCCAAAGTCCAGGCCGGAGTCGAGGTGAAGCTGGTGGTTGCCGATAGAAGCAGGTTGTTGTTGTTGGTGGTGGTGGTTGTGGTTGTGGTTGTGGTTGTGGTTGTGGTGAGAGGGAGCGTTGTCGTAGTGCGGAGTCTGGTCGGGGACGTGGCACATACTCTCCGGGCTGGTCTCGGTGCCCAGGCTCTCATAGTCGAAGCCCATGTCAAAGTCCGGCAGGTCCGCCATCTCCGGCGAGGTGCTTCCGCCGGGGGACTCGTCGGGCGTCTGCTGCTGCTGCTGCTGCTGGCGTTGGGCAGCAGCCGCGGTCGACGACGTGTTGCTGCCGCCACCACCTTGAGCCGCGGAAGGGGGCATCTTGTGGTAGACGCACTCGAGTCCCTTGGCGGCGCACCGAGTGCACCGCGGCGTGCGCTTGTCGCAGCGGCGTTTGCCGCGCACGCAGGCGTTGCAGCTCTTTTGGCGGGAGCTGAGCGACGACGCCGTGTCAATCTTGGTGGCCATGCCGACGAGTGGATCGATGCCAAACGAGTCCATCTTGGGGGAGGGTGCAGGAGGTAGGAGGCGCGATGAATTACCTGACCTGGGTGGTTGTAGGCTGCGTTGATGACAAAGGGAAGTCCCTCCTTTACCTAACCGGGGTTGAGAACCGCTATCGCCTTGCTTGTGCTTCCGGCAAGTTTGAACGTTGAAGAGCAATCCTTCTTTGAGTGCAACGTTTTTGACGAGGCAAGTGCCTGACGGATCCGCTATTCTGGGTTTAGCGTTACACTTCCGGGGAAGCCGCGAGCTTGATGTGAAGGCACGAGGATAAGGGTGTATAAATCGAGTGTTGAATGATTATGAAGGAAGCAGGTTGCCAAATGAGATAATTTACCCATAAGAAACTCAAAACACACAAAAGAAGAGAGAAACGGTACCAGACTTCGGGGGGGCTGGCCGCTCAAAATCGCAACACAAATGTCCGCAAACTATGAATAGTTAGGCTAACATACTACGCGTGTCCCGAGTAATGCAAAACCCTGCCTCTGATGGATCATACAAAGACTTTCTGAAAAGGGCCAGAGAATCTGGCCTTTTGCCAAGTTTACGTATGCATTTGTTGGCCGGCTTACAAACCGACATTCAGCCCCAGCCTTTACCATGGCGCTGTACTTTTTTTTTATTCACAGGAGCCAGCAACACGCTGGAGGGTCCCCCCGTCCCCCTAAAACTCCGCAACTCCGCAACTGTCAGCAGCTCACTCTAGCAGGCATTTCCAAAACTCCGCCGCCCTCGGCTTCCAACCTCAACCTCTCAGTCCAGCGGCAGCTAAATCCCAGAAAAGCTCCATCACAATCTGGCATAAAACGTAAATGCACATCATTACCTTAGTATTATGTTTACCCACCTCGGTATAGGTGTCAAGTGCTGTACCTCCCCCGAGTCCTCCTCTACACCCTGGTCCTTCCTTGACACCCTCCCTGCCCTGTCCGCCACCCCCTTGCAATGGGCAGCACAAAATCTTTATGCATTCCCACGTGGCACAATCTCCATCACATTTTTCCATCATCCATGCTAGCGACATCCAACTGCCGTTCCTGATCGAGATGCAATCGTCCTAACTATTTTTTACGGATACACACGTTTCACAAACAACCATCCCGTCGTCCAAACTTCCATCCGACATAGACACATGAGCAAGTATCACGAGATATTGTTATATACATCACCTCACAGCCACGGCCACGGCACATCAGCACGCACTCTTTCATAATACACGCCAAGCACGGTAATGGCATCAACACAGTCGATATATCGCTAGCTGCCAGTATAGCCACCAGTCTAGCAGCCATCCAAATATTATAGTATATCCTAACCCAAGTCTCCCCACAGATATCCTCTCCAGATGTCCCATCATACCGTCTTATATAACAGAAGCGGCCCAGCGGCCCGAACCCTCCTTTCAAAACACATTTGGGTATATACAGCCCTCCTCCCCTGACGAAAACCTTTCGTCTTGTCCCCCTTTGCTTCACCTCTCTCAACTCCAATGACACCGTCGCTTCGTCGCTTCCACCGTGCCCCCTTGCTATGATGTGTGATGCTTGTGCCATCGCTTCCTCTTCACTCCCCCCTTTTTTGTGTAAATAAACCCCAATGGACAAAATTCCAAAATTAAACAGAAAACAATAATTCGCCATTCCACGCCCATCGTTTTTGAACCGAAAAATAGAAAAGGGAAAAAAACATTTGTAGGGATTGTAGCAGCGTTGCAACTGGCAAACGCTCTGGCCGTCGTGCCAAGTCCTCCTACGGAATCTGGCAACGTTCGCCATCGCCTCCCAGGGCAAGCCATGAAAACAAGTAAAAAGGAGAAACTGCAAAAAATGAATGCCAATGAATGCCAATGAATGTCAAACTCTTGTCACAGAGCAGTGAATCATATGGAAGCCACCGTTGCATGGTGGAATATATGGTAATATAAGCCAAGAGGTAGGCCCGTCATTTTATAAAACGGCAGCGTCGGCGTGAGTGGACGCACCATGATATCGTAGTCGCTCATCCAGTCGTGTCAATAGCCAAAACAGCAAATACCAACGGCGCAAGGTGGCACGCAGTCTCCGACTAATACCGCTCACGGTAGCCGTTGGTCCGGGGACCGTCATATTGGACGCCCGTCATCGAATCAGGACCGTTTGACATGCCGTTGTTGATGGACCGCAGCGGAGGAAGCTCGGTCCCGCCCGACGACGAAGGATACTGCTCTGGAGGGAACGGGTGGCCGGGCGCGGCGTTGGTCTGCGCTTGAGATGCTGGCGGTGGGTGGTCACCACGAACCTGCGAAAGCTCCATCTTGACGGCTTGGAGCTCGCGCCGGAGAAGCTCATTGTCGGAAACGGCAGTGTTGTAATGCGATTGGAGAACGCGAATGTGATCCGTCTGTCTTTGGTATTCGGTGATGGCTTTGAAGTAGTCAGTCAGCATGGGCACGTCGCAGCGTCTCCTTCGTCCATCCATCCATCTGTCGACGGCGCTTACCTTTGGTCAAAATCTCCCACTTAGATGCCTTTGACCCGCGCTCCTGGGGCATCAAATCTCTCAGCTGGTCAAACAGCTCCTTCATTTCGGTGCGGCGCTTGCGTTCGGCCAGTTTGTGGCTGACACGCAGCTCCGGCGTGCGACTATATGGTTGAGCCCCGGGGCCGCCGGCGCCCTCTTCCGCCTGCAGATCGCTGAGTTGCTTGTGCTGCATGGTGTGGTGGTGCACAGAGGGGAACTCCGACGAGTGGCCGGACATGCGCGCATATTCGCTGCTGTCCTCCAGTCGGCGCTGGCCCGAAGGCAGGCGCGACTCGGTCGTGAACTGGCTGCTTGCAATGGAGTCGGTTACGCTGCTTCTCCTCGACTCATCATAGTGGCTGACACGCTTAATCTCCTCCTCGGGGAAAGCCCAGGCCTGACCCTTGGTGGGCTCGGCAGCGCGGGCAATGGTGCCGGTGGCCGGGCCGGTAATGGCTGGGGCTGTGCGAATCGTCTTACTCTCCGGATTGCGATCGTTGCTGGGTTGGTAGCCATTGGAAATTCTATGCGAGGCGTAGCTGTCAATGCCGGCACGGGGATTGCGCTGGCTGTGCAGGGTGCTCGTGAGAGAGCTCGTGGACTGGTTGTTGCTGGTGTACGGGGATCCGCCGAGGCGCATGTCGCTGATGCCCTGGTTGATTCTGCTGTCAACGCTCTCGCGGCGCACATTGGAGGCGGCGCCGAGACCGTCGCCTAGCTGGCCAGGGAACTCGTGGGAGGTGGGACGCTCAAAACGGCGGTCGACGCCGACTGACGAAGTGGGGGAGACCATGGCGGCAACGCTCATGTTGGCGGCAGAGGCGGGCGACAATTGCTGATGAGGAACGGTGTTTGCCGCGACTGGCGAGGGCGTCTTGTCGGCGGTAGAAGATTGATATCCAGATGCGGGACTCAGGCCGGCAGCGTTGAACGAGGCGCCAGAGTTATCTATAGAGGAAACAGAGCGTAAGTACAAGGGCATTGAGGAAGCTAGAAACGGCGCTTGTTAGGCGGCGACCGTCGCAGAGGAAGAAGAGGAAAACGGACGTTTGCTGGAAGCCTCGGCGGTGGAGTAGAAGCCAGAGTCTCGCAGCTGAGGAGGCGGCGCACTTTGAACGGGTGGCTCATCTTGGTTGAGAATGTTGGTCAGACCAGCCGCATTGGCCGTTCTCTGGGCCGCGGCGGCGGGCATGGCGATTGTGGGCGAGAAAAGGGTAGTGGTGGTCGTTTATATAGAGCGCGTTTGGAGGAGAGGCGTATCGCAGCGCAAGAGGGGTGTACTGGGGTGTTTTATGCGCGGAGTCGACACAGGCCAGCAGCTGCTCAAAATACCGGAGAGCAAACGGGGTGCCAAAAATTGCAAGGGGTGTGATGCGGCAGCGAGAACGGTGATTCGACAATGCGAGGCAGCAAGGGGCAGACACGAGAGCGCTGAGGTCATGCAATTTTTCGCTTGGCAAAAGGGCGGTTCGGTGGAACGAGATGTTTCTGCAAGAGCACCGGCCAATGCCGTGGACCAGCGCAGATGAGCGTCGAGAATGTACCAGGTGGTGATGTATGAATGGAGTCGAGTGTGGTGAGAGTCCTTGGGAGGTGAGGTGATGGGGGAATGCGGCTCTTTTTTAGTCGAGTGGATGAATGCTCATGTATAGAGAGGCAATGCTACTAAAGAGGGAAATGAAAAACGAGTGGTTGAAATGTTGAGGAGAGGAAGAAGAAAGAGATCTTGGACGGGAAGAGGGAGGTCAGATTTGAGAGGGGGGGCGAAGAGAAGAAGAGTGGGACGAGCCACGGTGCAGTTTAACCCGCAAAAGACGGCGTGGCTAGACAGGGGGGTTACCAGTAGACGAAAAAGAGGAGGGAGGAGACAAAGATGCTGCTAGTCAAGAGCGAGAGCCAAGAGAGTGCGCTACGAGGAAGTAGAATGTGGGTTCGGGGCAAAGCGAGCACATGGGCGGAAGACAAGATGTGATCTACTAATAACCTCTATTACATGTGTACTGGGGAGGGAGGGAGGGGTGTGTGGTGAATTGGTATGGTGCATGGTGAATTGGTATGGTGTATGATGAGTGAGTAGTGTGGTGTGTGTGGTGGTGGGCAGACAGAGGTGTGTGTGAATAGCTGCAGGAAGTCGCCTGTGGAAAAAGCAAATAAAAAGAAAACTGGCAGGAGGGGCGTGAGTCGACGCGGAATTGGAATATCAGCTTTCTGTCTTGAGCTTGTTCTTTGCTGGAATTGAGAATTGAGACTACTAGGCTCGATGCGAGACAGCAAGAGCACCCATGTGCTCTTGGGCATCTTGTTCAGTGGGTAACTAGTACATAGCTGTAAGCTGTAATACTGATAAGTAATTGGTGGAAGCGAGTCAAGAAGGTTTGGATGAGAGTCGATCGAGCTTATTTATTACGGAGACGACCTCACAATTCACAAATCCCAATTCACAATTACCACAAGTGCATACTGTATGCAAATAATTTACATGTTCGTACTCCGAACAGGTACCACCATACCCTGTGTCCACTGCAAAGCGGATTGCGCCCTGTTACTATTCGTGACCTGGCGAATATACGTTGCCCGCAGTTCCCTGGGGCACATAACGACGAACGGGCGACCAGGCCAGGGCGGTAGTCCTTGTCCGCCCCGTTTGGAACTACCGTGCCTGGTAGGGCCCGTGATACGGCTGGAAGTCATTTTCTTCCAATTGAATGCCGGAATTTTCATTTATTTTCATTTCATTTTCCTCTCTTTTGGGAATACAATCATCCATCATCATGACCGCTGCAGGTAGCGGATTACGGGAGAGCGGCGGGCGCTACCTATGTACATCCCCTCCCACGACGATAACCCATGCCATGCCTGATGCAACCCACTCTTCCATGCCCGCTGGCAGGCAGCCTGGCACTGGAAGCCTCATGGCCATGCCGTGGCGGCCACACCTGGCTCCTGCCACCACGAGGCAAGCGGGGCGACGACAGGTACCTCCCTAGTCAAGGACCCTACGAGCCAAGGTACCAACACTCTAAAGTGGTACCTCTGGCTGACCGGACCTCTCTGCCCCCCCTGGTGGCCCCCCCAGCGCGGTTACTGGTAGGGAACAAAACAGTGACGAATTACAGGCTCGGACCCCCCCTGCAACCGCTACCGAGTCCTTTCTCCTCACCGGGTCCAGGGCCTTGCTCCAGGCCTCTTGCTGGCCCTCGTTCAGGCCCCAAGGCGTTTCCAACCGGGGGGGGGGGGGGACTTACAGGGGGTCCAGGCGTGATAAAAAAAAAACGCCACCAGGACACATCCGCCGTCCACTTGCTGCGCCCAATTGCCAATACTCGACAGCATTTATAACGTGGCTTGATCATCAATTTGTCCCAAGGCAAGGCAGGTACCGCTGTTGTTTCCTTTTTCCTTTGTTTCTCGTTTTTTTCCCCCGTATCGTATCCATCTGTCAAAGAGAAAGAAAGAAAAAAAACCCCAGCATAACCATCGCAAAATGACCTTGTCCAACACACTCTCTCTTACCGCCTCAATAACCAACCCCCAGAGGTTACCATAAGGAGAAGAAAACGCCGCGAGTTTGGACCTCGTTTTCGCACGCAGACGGTAATTACCATTCACATGTGTCCCTGACAGGCCTTGTCTTGGTATGCCCTGACCCCCGTTCCTGTCCAGTCAGCCGGATCTCGCCACGCCGGTGCTGACAGGGTTCGCTTGCGACGTGCTGGGGGTCTTGACTCTTGTCCTTGCTCATCAGGCACAAGGTACGGGATGCTTGGCAATCTACTCTGATGAAAATTCGCAACGTAATTTCACCGCTCTTGGTAATCATTGGCCTTGCCAGACTTGTCGGGCACCGCCGGAACCGACCAACTTGTTCGTTCCGTCACCTACTATTGACAGAAGCAGCAAACGAGCAATACAGGTGACTTCGATGATGCCCAGTTATCACCACCAGTATCATTACCAGCAGTCCCGGCGCAGAGTTCGACGCAATTAGCGGCAGCGCTAAATCTACGTCTCTAATCGCGCTTTGTCGCTCCGTCCTGTTAACCTTCATGGGTAGTGGCTCGCACGTCCCAAGTTCCAAGTTGCCCTCACGGGCTCACACAGACGCTGTCATATGTGCTCCCCCGGATCACAGAAATCACAGATCACCACCTTCCGTCCGGGCATCACACACATCACATCGGGCCTGTCCTAACCCATGTTCGTACGTATACGCTGCGCAACGCTGCAACGCCTACCACGGGCAGGTTCGCCGTGTTGGGCTGAGCCACCCAGCGATTGATGTGACTGCGGCTATGACGGGTGATTCCAAAAGCCGGCAATAAGGTGTCTTGGCCTGTAACTTTGCAATGTCCAAGCATCATGGCATATTGGTGTGGGATATGTACATTGGAGTTGGTAGATTGGCAGGCGCTCGATTATTGATTTTTAATTCGAATATTACACTTTATTTCCTTGATTAAAAACACGAGTTGTGTGTTTTTTTCCCTTTTGCTTTTTCTTTTTCCTTTTTCTTTTTTCCTTTTTGCATATCCAGTCCCCCCTCTTTGTTCGGATCCTGCATTCAGCCACGCCACCAATTATGCTCGACACATGGTTCGCCATGTGTCTGTCTGTCTGTCTGTCTGTCTGTCTGTCTGCCGTCTGCCTGTGCCTGTCTGCCTGTCGAGTTGTAATCTGTAATCACACACCCCCCTCCTCCTCCTCCTTCCTCCCTCCCTCCCTCCCTCCCCCATCTCAAATGCAGTCTGCTGCTCAACTTTCTTTTTCGTCCTTCGTCGCCCACCTTTGAAAAGGCCGAAAAGAGAGAAATATTGCTCTTGGCTTGCTGCATGACGGCGCCACATCCCATTTCGTCTCATTACTTGTACGAATAACTGGTACCCCAAAATTCATGCAAAACCCAAAGATGGCACACGCAGTCCGGCGGGGTAGCTTAAACTCTGTTTTTGTCTTTTCTCTCCTGGTCAACAACAACAACTCGGACCTCATCGTGCATCTCGGCCTTTTATTGCCGCAACACTGATAGTACGATAGATGATAATAAAGCTTGGTTCCCCCGCTGTCACAGCACAGATGTTCGCTGCGAGCCCCAAGTTAGTCTCCGTGCGGCCGTCCCTGCGTTGCGGGAAGCCCATCGCTTCAAGGCAAAGCAAAGTGTCTGTGAGCGAGCCGTGGGCCAGCCTCATTATTCGTAGAAAATAAGAAAGTTTGTGGATACAGTAAATTTATTATCAACTAACTACCTTGTCGTTAGTTTTGTCCAGTAGAATTGGAGCATTACTCGCTTCTGTCCATCGGTCAACTTTGCTTCTGTTCTTTTGACGTGAACTCATCCGACAGCGGAAGCATGCCGTAATTTGGACAAAACCACGTTGCCTGGGAAGAGTGTTTGTTGGAGGCCACAAGTACAAGGATAGGCGCATCCTCCTTCTTCCTTTTTTTTTTCCTTTTTCCTATTTGCGCCTCCCCGTGCAGTTTTTGCCTCCTCCCCATACGGCCGTGCGTCATAACTAGTGACCCCATATCGTCTACACTTGCAGCTTGCAGCTTTTTGTCTCGGCTGCACACGGGAAGGCTGGCTGGTGGGGGGGTGGACGAGGGGGGTTCGACATGGCTACGACACGACAGCAAGTTTTATTGGTGATGAATGTGACGAATACTGGTATGTGCGGAATAAAGAGTGCAAATGTCGTGCTCGTGCTTTCCCCGCCAAGGCAACCAGATGCTGTCAGGGGGGGGTTAGAAGAGAGAGAGAGAGAGAGAGAGAGAGAGGGAGAGAGGGAGGGAGGGAGGGAGAGGGAGAGAGAGAGAGAGAGGGAGAGAGAGGCAGAGAAAGAAAGAAAGACACAGAGAGAGAGACAGAGTCGGGAGATCTGTCAATGCGCCCCTCACTTTCATGCCAGGGCAAGTGCTCGCGAAAAGGACGAAAAGGCAGAGTTGAGGGGGCTATATGCCACAACCTGGAGGTATAATAGGTGTCCTCGGAATGCGCTGAGCCGCCTGCCGGCTTATCATGCAGAGCAATAAGGTGTATTATTACCGAGTACCTACGAATATCAGGGTCCAAACTCCAACTATCGCAGAGGCATTTACTTGGTAGCCGTCGACCGCGTTCGCAGTACATGTGTATACAGCAGCAGTTTCAACGATTCTTTTTATTTTATTGTCATGCCAGCCAAACAAGTTGCACCGCACAGGCACATGGCCCTCGAACTTTCTTCTCTGTTCCGGGTATCCGTACTCCGTACTAGCAATCCTACTGATAATAAGCTGCATGCCTGCCATGCACATGCAACATGCAGATGCAGGGTTTTCTCCTCAGCGAGGCGCCGTGGCTCTCTTTCTCTCTCTAGTTATCTCTTGGCTGCCCTTTTCGCAGGCATTGTAAACGACCCTTTGTTTGATATTTGATAGATTTTGCCAAATTGGCCGCGCGCAGTAATCTGATCGAACAGCCGCAAGCCTTTCAATTTCCCTTTTTCCTCTTGTTGCCAAATTCACTGACAATTTCAAGCGTAGATGCACGTCTTTTGTCTTGATTATTACTTCGATACTAATGTTCCCGCCGCCACCGCCATTATTGCCTTTTTTTTTTCTTCTTCTTTGCCTTTGTCTGCCCTGGCACAAACGTGGCTTCGGAGATGATGGCTCACGTGCGACAAGCTTACGCTGTGACGTTGGTCTTCTTCTTTTTTTTTTTTTT